CATAAATTCAATAGATACATGAATTAAAGAGACATGTGAACTGAAGAGACATATCTTGTTGTGCTCACTTTTGTTAAACCATTAATAACCATAATTACAACATATAACACTTGATTTGATTTATTAGGCGTTCTCCCAAAAGGCAATTTCCTAGTTTATTTCATTGCGCATTTATTTGACAATTGAGGTTTCGATGTTTAAGATCTAAGATCGGATACCTAAGTATCTTTAATTTCATCATGGATCGCGGAGAATATTTAAATTATATGGGCTTATATTGCATGCTACTAATTTAGGAAATATTGTTTTTATGAAAGATACAAAAAAAAAATTGCATTGCACAATAGGATAGATTGCATTCATATTTTTCTCATTTAGAATTGCATATCTAAATTATTGTATAGACATAAATTATTGACATAAATTATTGTCGATGGTGAAAATATTTTTCATTGAATAATTATTTTAAACGTTACGAGCAATTATTTTTAGAAAAATATTTTCCAAATTATTCATTTTCAGCGAAACAAACGGAGCATACAAGAGTGATAATAAATCCAAGCTAGTATACAAAAATGCATGGATCCCAACCTGAAAATAACAATGAAAATAGGACCTAAAGAGTAACTCCAAGGTTCTCGTACCACAATATGAATGACTATATATTTTCCTCCAATTATTATAATTTCTTGTTTTTGAAAGGGACATATAGGTGACTCGAGGGTGTACATTCATTGCGTTCATTGTATTCTCCGTTATAACTATCGAAAGCAAAACGACATTGAGGTTATTCCCTTTTGTTGTGATGATTGATCGCCTTGCGTGATTTCTAAAATTGAACTAGCTTTTTTCCCACCATATTATTCCAAAACGGGGTTTCACAGCAAGAATCAAAGCATTAATCGTAAAGACTGTCCTTCTTGGGCACCGTGCGTCTGCAGTCTCCTCCTAGCTTTATACACTCATCTTGTGGCATCCTCTTTCGCCATCATACTTGGAAATGATTGATTGCGTTGATGTTGTTTTCATTTTGGCCACTATGATTTGTCTGGTTTTCCGACAGAATAAAGCAAAAAGTAAACTAAAGTAAAGAGAAACCATTCTGTATGTCTCGACAAGGTTCAGTTCTTCGATCACAAGTCACTCAAAAATGTATCCTTCTATGCGTGCAACACAGAGCATCTAATTAACTAGCATATACCAGGCAAAGCCACACCCAAGTAGACCGATAGTTAGACATAGGGATACCGGAAGATGTCCAAAAGATGGAACACGGACGAATGAATTGACCGCATCTCCAATTTTTTTACCACCGCAACCGGTGCAAGCAATGACGGTGCGGTTTTTGTCTCAGATTCATGGCTAATCGCCACTGAACAAAGTGGCTGGGTGAATCGAGTTCGACGGTCACCGTCATCCTTGTTCCATTCATGCTGCAGGTCCAGAGTCTCCATCTTCCATAATCTCGATATCGCAATTCCTAGGCAGATGACATAGAAGGCTATGGAGCGGAGATAGTGCCGATTCATCCCGAGATGAACGTACATTGCCATGTATAGAAGGCAGATGCAAAATAGGGTGCCAGCTCCCATCAACAGGACGAGAGAGGCGAGCCAAGTGAGCTTGACCAAAAAGGGAAAAGAAAAAGAAAAGAAAAGGAGAACACATCTCGATCATTGAGTGTTCGATGGTTGAGATGTGTTTTCTCTTAAACGCCTAAAATATCTATCATTCAGACAATGAATGTATAAATTCATTTAAATATCGTTGACACAAAAAATTGACCAATGTTTTGCTATTATCAACAAGTATCAGACTTAATCGATGAGAGCAAAATTTAATTAATAGTGAACAAAGCAATCAACAACTTGCCAAGGAAGTCATCGACAAGATCTTGAATGTTATCAACGAGAGCCTTCATCAAGACTTCAGAAGTTATCGAAAAAGTTGTATACACCGAGTAATCGACATAAAAAACAATCGCTAGGTGGTTGTGTCCATTGTCCCAAGTTTAGGATTTTTTATAACTTTTTGTAGATAAGTGTTGCTAGATAATAAGAGATTATGTAATTTCTTGTAATTACCCATAAAATTATGAAATTATTTCTTTATTTAAATTCTGTAACCGTTGGGTAGAGGGTTATAAATACCCAAGCTATCCATTGTACAACCCACCTCGATTAATCATAGAACTCTACGTCCTTCTACAAATTTCTATTTATCTTTACATTTTACAATCTACAAGGCTAGATATGATTGTCTCAAGTTTTCGTACCTTTAATTTTCTTAAAATTTATTTTCCAATCCAAAATCAACAAAGGACCATTCTCAAGCTTTATTTATTCACTCATCAATCCATCAATTCTTTGAAAGATATTTCATAATTTTCAGTAAAATATCTTTTTGGCGCGCTCGACGGGTCAAATTTTGTGATTTGAGGAGATCATGATGGCAAGAACCATAAATCAACAAGAGTACAACAATACTACTGGCAACAACAATCCATTACCACAAACTGGTAGTGAGACGGCCGTGCATTTTTATACTTCAACCACTAGGAGAGCGACATAATATAATTGACGTGAGGAAGTTGATCTTCCGATTCATTATACTAGTGAGCAGTTTGAGGACGGTGCCTCAAATCCCAACATGGTGTCAATCATGAGGAGATTGTTCGAAGAATAGCAGAATATGGCCAACTACATTGTGAGTCATACATCCGACGCGATCAAGCCAATCGTCATTATTGCGTGAATGACGCCCTCTCGAGGCCAAGATCATTCAACGGATACGTTCCTAGTCTTTCTCTATTTATTGATGCTAATAATGTTGGTCAAAGTAGTCAACAATCAAGGTGAGAATTATGGGAATAACCAGGCTAATGTTGGTCAAATAACCAAATTGATAACATTAATTTAGCAAATCAAACTGGTCAACAGGCCAACCAATTGCCAAATGTTGAAAATCTAAGGTGGGTGGTCTATTGGTACCACCCAATGTGAACATTCCTATTGGCCCTAACATGCCGATTAATATAGGTAATCCAAAAAGAAGGAAAAGAGAAGAAAAAGAAAAAAGAAAAGAAAATATTGATAAAAAAACATGAAAAATGATAAAATAAGTCCACGTCAGCGCTTGCCGTGTCATATAGAACAGCCGACGTGCCTAAGTTGGCCGAATGGACTAAATTGGTAATAATATGAAAAGGTTTAGGACTAAATTGGTCCAATTGAAAGATTTACGACTGAATTGATATAAATACAATAAATTAATGACTTTTTTGGTACTTTTCCCTGTTCTCTTTATATCCTCTTTACTTCATCCTGCTTCTAGCATTACCTCTGCACTGACGTTAATCCTTCTACGAGGCAAACATTGCTCGGAAACAAACTCTGTCAACATCCATATATTGACATTTCTTTGGAGATAATTTCATTAAAGGTTCATAGATGATGAAGTCCAATTGATATTCAAAATATCCAAATCATGCAATAGATAAAGCTAATGAACACACCGATTGTGCAGTATTCCCAAAATTGGAATAGAATTACGCGGTTTAAAAATTTTAAGACTCCACTATACTTTGAGCATAGGATTTAACATGGATCATGCATTCATCCAATTGATATCTTTAAATACCACGTTGTGTAACATTTTAAGTTAATTTTAGATAGGCGCCGAAAGCTAGCCCGCCACTTTTCGTTATATATATATATGTGCGCGCGTGAGGTATGACACTTTGAGCACTTTTCCTTTTCTTTTTTGGGTCAATAAATAAAAAATCCCAAACTGATACGTTTATGACAAATTTACCCCAAATTGGTACATTTGTGACAAACTTATCATCCGTTAGTTTCCTTTAAATTGGATTAATACCGCAAAAAATCACAAACTGGTACACTTATAACAAATGGAGGGTAAAACATAAAATCAGTACATCCGTCAACTGCCGTGTTTTATTTAACAAAGCAATTTGACACTAAAATTTAACGAAAACAAACTTAGGATAAATTTGTCATAAATATATCAATTTGAAGGTTTTCGTAGTATTAACCCTTCTTCTTTTTTGGCTAAAGAGCTAAAATGAGAGGGCCACCATGACTACAAATTTTTTTTTTTTTATAACAGAGGTGTCCGCGCTGCCGGCGAGCTAGGGCTCAAACCAGCGGTGATGCCCGACTAGTCCTCGAGAGGGGCTAGCACAGCATCCCACCGCCACGACCCCCCACTTAAATCACCGATGGGCGAGTTTGAACCCAAGACCTCTCGTGAAAGGAACTGAGCGCAAACCAACGCGGCCACCGATGGGTGGGTACCATGACTACAATTGTTACCTTTTACTTTTTTGAAATAAAAACTAAACTTTGACTAAAAGAATGGTAATAAATCCAAACTAGTATACAATAACACAGGATTCCGACCCGAAAATAACAATAACAATCGGACTTAAACAGTAACTTCAAAGATCGCGTACAACAATATGAACTGATTGTCCCCGTTTTGTAATTCCTTGTTTTTGAAAGGGACGTGTCGGTAACTAGATTGTGCACGTTCACGGCGTTCATTGAACTAGTTCTTTTCCCCATTGAAAGGCCTAATCATCCCAAAAGGGGGTTTCATAGCAAGAATCAAAGCATTGATAAAAAAATGCAATCCAACCTTTTGATAGGACAAACCATCTGCCAGTCTCCTCTTTATACACTCATCTCGTCCTGTCCTCTTTCGGCAATATACTTGGAAATGATTGATTTCGTCGATGTTGTCCTCATTTTCTCCCCTATGATTTGTCTGGTTTTCTGTAATTCAGCAAAAGGTGAACTAAAGTGAAAAGGAAGCCATTCTTTTATGACTCAACAAGGTTCAATACTTAATTCAACACAGTCACCGTTACAAATCGTATCCTTCAACCCGTGCAACGCACGGCATTTAATTTATGTACCATACAACGCCACGCCCAAGTAGACCGATAATTATATATCCGAATACCAGAAGATGTCTAAAAGACCGAAATAACAGTGTCTCCATTATTTACCACCCAATCGATGCAAAGCAAGGACGGTGCGGTTTTTCCAAGGTCAAACAAAAGGAAAGAGAAGGGTGTCTCCATCAATAGCAACTGGATTCTTGAAACTTGACCACTTGACGTGTCAAGCAAAGAAGCTCGACATGTCTACGATAGGCAACATTTAATGAAGTTCTCCTCGAATCGATTGGCAAGGCTAAGTACCACCGGCCGGAGGCAAAGTGGCCGGGCGATTCACATGCAACGTCACCGCTGTCCTTGTTCCATTGATGCCCGCAGGTCGGGAGTCTTCATCTTGCAGCACATCAGGGAAGCAAACTAAAATTCTCGATATTGCGATTCCTAGGCGGATGATATGGAAGGCTATGCAACGGATATAGGGCGTATTTACCACAAAAGGAACGTACATTGCCAGGTACAGAGCGAAGATATGGTACAGACCGACAGCTCCGATCAACAGGACAACAGAGGCGAGCCAAGTGAGCTTGCTTACGAGCACATAGCCACCGGCCATAAATGCTATGGACATTGTTACGAGAGCTACCAACAGCCCCTTTATGGCAATTATATGGGCAGTTAGAGCAACGTAAGAGTCATTGAGTTGTGCCCAAGACAGCATGACAACCACGACTATGGCATTGTACATCGCAATGGCGTTGCAAATGACAAAGGCCTGGAACATGCCCCTGTTCAGCATTGTTGCCGTTCCTGGGTTAGCTCCAGAACTCTCGACGAAACCTCCAGGAACCGCAAAACCGGCTGCAAAGGTCACGGTTGCCACGAGCATGGCAACTATCGAACGAGCATTCGCCTGTCCGCTCAATATACCTCCGGTTTGCAGAGCAAGGACTGTATATTCCGCCATAGTTTCTCGATTTCTTGACTTGTAGATAGCCAAATCTTTACTTGTAGGTGCCCCGGCAGATGTCAAAATCATTGATGATAATCTCTAGGCATCGGTTAAACAAGAAAATACGGAGTCATTGTAATTCGAAGTTGTCGTACATACCGCATGAAGATAGAAAGGATTGCTTAATTTTGTGATTGTTAATGTTTAATTTTGGAGTTTCTAGTGAGTGCATACCTTTTGAAACGTAGTATCCGTTCTTTTGATTTGCTCCGTCGCAAGGTCTCGAGCCGTCAAGCGTTCACTGTTGAGAAGCTTACGATCAACTCTTTTGTCCAGCACGAGATCAAGCAAAACCACAGGGTGCCATGGCAATGTGGCCAAATGCAGAGGCGTATTCCCCTCGTTGTCTCTCTCGTTGATGAGCTTCTCAAGGTCGGCATGCCTGAGTATGTACCTCACTGCCTGGATTCTTCCGTGCTTGGCGCAAACATGAAGGATGTTTTGTCCATGTCGATTGATCAACTCTGTGGGGTCTGGCCACTGCCTGAGCAGCTCCTTGATTGCTTGAACATGACCCTCTTTACAAGCAACGTGAATCGGAAAATGGCCATCTCTATCATATTCAACTGCGCTCGAGGTGAATTTTTGAAGCAGGAATTTGATGCCATCAAAGTAATTGATGTATGCTGCCAAATGAAGCGGAGTGCTGTGTCTATCGTCTTTTAATCCAAACAATCGTGGATTTCTCTCAGAAATTTCCCTCAGCATGTCTAGATTAAGTGCCAAATAAAACCATTTAAATATTAAACCACGCATCCATCTAACAGTTTAATTTTTTAAAATAATTGATAGTGATCCCATAAAATTTTACTTAATAATAGAGCAAGAGGTCTTGAATTCAAATCTTTCTAAATATCTCATTTGCCTCCCTATATATATTTACACACTTTAATCTTAGTCCAAAGTCCAGTCTACCCTTGAAGAGGAGTACTAAATCATTTAAAATATTAAACTACACCTTCAACTAATAGTTTAAAATATCTAAAACAATTGGCAGTGATTCTATCAAATTTCACATGATATCAAAGCCATATTCCGCCTCAATTTGCCTATGAGGTTCCCTGTCCGTCAATTTGACGTGCCACTTTCAGTCCGGTTTACATGTGAGAGGGGCCGTTAAAAATGTCTCACATTGCTTGTCTATAGAGTTTCAATGGGCCTTATATTCATATAATCTCCATTCACCTATTGCTTAAACTTTTATATTGAAAATTCTAACATGGTATCAAAGAATGAGGTCTCGAGTTCAAATTTTTTCAAATCCCTTATTTGCCTCTCTTATATATTTATACGCTTTAATCTAAGGCCAATCTCTAGTTTATATGTGAGGGAGAATGTTAACCACTTAAATATTAAATCATGCATTTATTTAACAGCTTAGAAAAGCTAGCAATGGTCTTGCAAAATTTCACATTTTATTCTTGTAAAAACTAAAAGGTTAGTATTAGAAGACCTCTCTCTCTCCTCCACTTCCTCTTCTTCCTCCTCCTCTATTTCTTCCCCTCTCGATCTCACTCAGCGAGAGCCCTGCCCTCCGCTCACTTTGCCGGTGCCATCATTGCTGCTCGGTTGCCCTTTGTTGCCGTCATTGTCGATGTCCCTCCATCATCTTCACCGTCACTCCACCTTGGTCATCTGGTCTCTCTCTCTCTCTCTCTCTCTCTCTCTCTCTCTCTCTCTCTCTCTCTCTCTCTCTCTCTCTCTCTCTCTCTCTCTCTCTCTCTCTCTCTCTCTCTCTCTCTCTCTCTCTCTCTCTCTCTCTCTCTCTCTCTATGAGGCTAGGTTGCGTGATCAAATGTAGAGAGAGGAACCGCAATGATGTTGACATGAGCTGTGAATTAGAGCTAATTTAGTAATATGTAATATTTACTTCCTATTTTGTCTTCTGATTATTTTATCTCCTGATAAGGAAGAGTCCTAGGGTTTGTGTCATCTGTTGTGTATATGTAGACAAAGCTTTGTAAATTGGAGTAAGAGAAAAATATATACATAAATTTTTCCCTTAAAATCGCATGCGTTTCTTCATGGTATCAGAGCATAGTTGAACCAGGGACTCTAAAATCGATCAGATCCGCCGCCCCCGTACAACCGGAGAACTCAAATTTAACAAAAGGGAAGATGACGAAAGATGGCTGTTGAAGATTCCAGGGGATATTGAAATTAGGGTTCGATTTTTTGGTGGTTTGGTAATTTCAGTTTTTGATTTTTTAGTGATACATTCGACGGGACGTTGAGTGATTTGCCCGCGCCCAACACTCACCGTCATCTTTCCAAGGGGACCATTGCACGAGACACCGCGTCAAATCTGATCGACGCAGTTCCGACCTAGACCAAACCCACTGCAGCTTGTATCGCTGCTACACAGACACGCCGCGACTAGAATCGTCGCCGCACTGACCCATCCGCGACAAAGGAGATTCATCCGCGACATCAACCATTGTACTGACCAGATCTCTTTGCTGTGTCGATCAGCTCTACGTGGAACTACTACTATTGTCCTTGATTCTTGCATAAACACAAACCGATGGCAGATCAAACTTCTACAGGAGAAGTGGTTCCCCAGAATCAGACAGAACCACTTCTTGAGAATTTGACATCGAAATTGACTTAGATCCTCACCCAAAATCAAACCCAAAATCCGACATCGCACAATGATTAATCCGCCTCACAAATTACAATCAAACTAGATGGAACCAATTATGGTTTATGGTCCCAAGTGGTGGAGATGTATATCTCTGGCAAAAACAAGTTGGGATACATCAACGGAAACCTTCTGGAACCTTTACCTATAGACCCTCAGTTTCGGAAGTGGAAAACCGAAGACTCGACGGTGAAAGGATGGTTGATCAATTCCATGGATCCGGCGTTGATTGGCAATTTTATCCAATTCTCAACTGCAAAAACAGTTTGGGATTCAATGGCTACCACGTTTTTTGATGGCACTGATGCTTCCCAGGGGTATGATTTGAAGCGCATGAAACAGGCAAAGGGCTCTATCGAAAAGTACTACAATGATCTTCAAGGACTCTGGCAGGAGATTGATTTTCGCCGCCCTAATCCCATGTCGTGTCCTACTGACATTGAGCGCTACAACACAGCTCTTCAAGAAGATCGTGTCTACACCTTTCTTGATGGTCTTGATGATCGCCTTGACAATGTTAGGGCTGATGTGTTACAAATGCAACCGTTTCCTACGGTGGAACAAGCTTACGCACAGGTCCGACGAGTATGTCAAGCTGTGATGTTGACCAATGCAGATGCCCCCTCTTCCGTTGCTGCAATGGTATCTCATGGGAGGAGGATGGGGCCACGGTCTCTTGACAGTAGCCTGGAACCTAGAACTTTACAGCTAACATCTCTGGGTGGCAAGTCCAATGCAGGTTCCAAGCATAAGCCACAACCAACTTGGGGGATGTACCCATTGTGGGAATCCAGAACGTACCAAGGAGACTTGCTTTAAGTTACATGGGTACCCCGATTGGTGGAAAGATTTGCAGGCCAAGAAAAAGACTGAGACTACAGCTAATGGGGGTAAAGGACAAGCGTCGTTGGCCACTGGGGACTCGCCTCTCTCATTGGTTCCACAGGTAGACTCCACCAGTACCTCTACCTCGGCTCCTGAAGGAAACTACGGATATATTTTTGTCAATACTCATCAGGGTGGGGACAATGGGTGGATTGTTGATTCAGGCGCTACCGATCATATGACGCCCAATCCTGATGATTTTATCTGCCACACCACTCCGCAACAACAAAGTATCTATAATGCTAATGGCCGTAGCTATCCAGTGACAGGGGATGGGAGTGTTGCTCTCACGCCTTCCCTCTCTTTATCTCACACCTTGCTTGTGCCCTCATTATCTAATCAATTATTATCTGTTGGGCAAGTTGCTGAGGAGTTGAATTGCAGTGTTCTCATGTACCCCAATTTTTGTTTATTTCAGGATATCCTCACAAAAGAGATTATTGGACGTGGTACTAAGAGGGGAGGGCTATAATATGTGGATGATCTCACCACTGGCAGAGTTAATCATACCCAGGGTCAGACTACTAGTAGGGAGAAAGAAATATGGTTGTGGCACCGTTGATTAGGACATCCGTCTTTTGGGTATTTGAAGTACTTGTTTCCCAAGTTGTTTAAGGATTTATCAAATTTTGTATTCCGGTGTGAAACATGCATCTTGGCAAAGAGTCATCGTGTTCCTTTTCCATTGAGATTTAATAAAAGCACAACACCTTTTGTGTTAATTCATTCTGATGTGTGGGGTGCTTCACCGATTACCACTCTTTCGGGAATTCGATGGTTTGTGACGTTTATCGATGATTGCACACGGATGACGTGGTTGTATTTGATGAAGCACAAGAATGAAGTCTCTACCATATTTCAGGTGTTTCATCGCATGTTTGAAACCCAATTTGGAGCACAAATTTGCATCTTTCGTATAGACAATGGGGGCGAATATGTAAATCAATATCTCACTGGATATTTCCAGGAACATGGTCTTATTCATGAGACGTCGTACACTCAGACCCCCAGCAGAATGGGGTTGCAGAAAGGAAGAACCGCCATATTATCGAGACAGTGTGGGCTCTCTTGGGGGGTAGGCATGTTCCCACTCGTTTTTGGGATGTAGCCATTGTTACTGCGGTCCACCTGATGAATCGGATGCCCTCTCGCATGCTAAACTTCAAGACCCCGTTGCAAGTCCTTTTGACACATGTTTCTCTTCCCTCGGTCTCGACACTTCCCCCTAAAGTGTTCGAGTGTGTAGCTTATGTTCATCTTCACAAGAACCAACAGACTAAGCTGGATCCTTGTGCTATCCGGTGTGTTTTTCTTGGATATGGAACCCATCAGAAGGGCTATCGCTGCTACAATCCGACCACTAAGAAGACTCATGTCACCATGGATGTCACATTTATTGAGTCTGAATTCTTCTTCCCTAACACCAATTGTCCCTTTCAGGGGGAGATACATCGAGAAACGGAACATTGGTGGGAGAGTGGTGGTATTTTGGCAGGGGTTGGGTCTAACTCACGGCACACCCCAGTAGTATCGTCGGAAGAGAGAGTGGCATCTCAAGCCGTGACAGGGTCGACAACAGAAGTTGCGAAGGACAAACATCAAGCCTCGGTAGGAGGTGACCGGCAACTGGTATTGATACAGGATGCTTTTGAACAGTCTAAAGAACAGCCCTCTCTCACTCATGATGTCCCCTCTTTAGTACCCAACCATTCTCCCGAGGTAAGTTCTCCTACTATGGCTGATTCCTTTGATGATTCTGATGCGGTTGTTAGATATAAATTACCTGATAGATACAATCATGGCAAGCCCCCTAGTCGGTATTCACCAGACATAGAAGAGTGGAGATCAAGGTATCCTATTGCAAATTACGTCTTAACAGAAAGATTATCTGAACCTTTGAAGACATTTGTATCAAATGTCTCTGCAACCCGGGTTCCTAGTGGGGTGCAAGAAGCTCTGAGGGATCCCAAGTGGGTTCAGGCAATGAAAGAAGAGATGGAAGTGTTGCAAAAAAACAAGACTTGGAGTCTTGTTGAGTTGCCGGAGGGAAAGAAAGAAGTGGGGTGTAAGTGGGTATTTACTATCAAATACAAAGCAGATGGTTCCATTGAGAGGTACAAGGCGCGGCTAGTAGCGAAGGGGTATACACAAACTTATGGTGTGGACTACCAAGAAACGTTTTCTCTCGTTGCGAAGCTTAATACTGTGAGAGTATTGTTGTTTCTTGCAGCAAATCTGGACTGGCCGTTGCATCAATTTGATGTGAAGAATACATTTCTTCATGGGGATTTAGAGGAAGAAATCTACATGGATGTTCCACCTGGGTATAGTTGTGTCACTCAACCCAATATGGTGTGCAAATCGAAACGATCATTGTATGGGTTAAAGCAATCACCCCGTGCTTGGTTTGGTCACTTTAGTTCAGCAATGAGAAAGTATGGATATTCTCAAAGTAACTCGAACCACACTTTGTTTCTAAAGCGACGTGAAGGTAAGGTAACGGCCTTGATTATATATGTAGATGATATGATTATCACAGGAGATGACCTTGAAGAAATTTCGAGACTCCAAGACAAGCTAGCGGAAGAGTTCGAGATGAAGAATCTGGGAGGGTTGAAGTATTTTTTAGGCATTGAAGTGGCCAGATCGAAGGGAGGTATTTTCTTGTCTTAGAGAAAGTATGTGTTGGACCCTGTGCTTGGTTTGGTCACTTTAGTTCAGCAATGAGAAAGTATAGGTATTCTCAAAGTAACTCGAACCACACTTTGTTTCTAAAGCGACGTGAAGGTAAGGTAACGGCCTTGATTATATATGTAGACGATATGATTATCACAGGAGATGACCTTGAAGAAATTTCGAGACTCCAAGACAAGCTAGCGGAAGAGCTCGAGATGAAGAATCTTGGAGGGTTGAAGTATTTTTTAGGCATTGAAGTGGCCAGATCGAAGGGAGGTATTTTCTTGTCTCAGAGAAAGTATGTGTTGGACTTGTAGGCCGAAGTTGGAATGTTGGAGCGCAAGCCCGCTGACACCCCTATAGTTCAGAATCATAAACTTGGGGAGTATCCAGATCAGGTTTCGATGAATAAAAACAGATATCAAAGGTTATTGCGTAGACTAATTTATTTGTCACACACTCATCCTGATATTGCCTATGCTGTAAGTGTTGTGAGTCAATTTATGCATGCTCCGAGTAAGGATCATATGAATGCTGTAACTCAAATTCTGTGTTACTTGAAGTCAGCTCTTGGAAAAGGTTTGTTCTTTGCAAAGAATGGTCATCTTGAGGTGGAGGGGTTTACGGATGCGGATTGTGCAGGCAATATCTCGGATGGGAGGTCTACGTATGGATATTTCACGTTTATGGGGGGAAACTTGGTTACATGGAGGAGCAAGAAGCAGAAGGTGGTAGCCTTGTCCAGTGCTGAGGTAGAATTTAGAGAAGTGGCCAAAGGGTTGTGTGAACTACTATGGCTCAAGAGGTTAATGACGGAACTTGGCTTCCCACCGAAATCCGAGATGAGATTATTCTGTGATAATAGAGCAGTGATTGACATTTCTCACAATCCGGTACACCATGATCGAACCAAGCACATTGAAGTTGACAGACATTTTGTAAAGCAGAATTTGGATGCTAAGGTGGTTCAGTTTCCCTTTGTCAGGTCTGAAGATCAGTTGGCAGATATACTTACTAAGGCAGTGTCGAGTAGAGCCTTTCACAGCTTTCTTGTCAAGTTGGGTATCAAAGATATCTTTTCGCCCACTTGAGGGGGAGTGTTGACATGAGCTGTGAATTAGAGCTAATTTAGGAATATGTAATATTTACTTCCTATTTTGTCTCTTGATTATTTTATCTCCTGATAAGGAAGAGTTCTAGTGTTTGTGTCCTCTGTTGTGTATATATAGACAAAGCTTTGTAAATTGGAGTAAGAGAAAAATATATACATAAATTTTTCCCTTAAAATCGCGTGCGTTTCTTCAAATGAACACCGGTGGTGGACGGCACCCTATCGAGCGTTTGAGACGGCAACGTACATCATGCAAAGGTGGTGAAGAGAGAAAGGAAGAGAGAGATAGGTGGCTGGGCAGTGGGGAATATTCCTTTCTTTCTTTTTTGTTAATAAAACTTATTATGGACAACCTCATGGTTGGCATATTAGGTTGAGGAGGTTGGGAATATTCAGCTCATGGCTAGAGGTCATTCCTTCAAATTCCACCAACTATGTACCAACTATTTGACGTTAGGACCATATACACTGGTGAAAAGTTTGGACTTAACTTTTATGTGGGGCTAGTAAGATGTTTCATTGGCCTCTAAGTAACCAGACCTCTACGCTCATGCCCCAAGTTACAAAATTAAAAATTATGTATAGGTGATGTACATATTTGTAACCCGTTAATTAGAAAGATGGTAAGAGGTAGTTTCGTTTCATATGGCACAAGTATAACATTCAAATGAACAAAAAAGGGGGGAAAAGTAGGACCAACGATTTGCGTTGTGTCGGGTTATTCATGTCACGTCAAAACAGAGTGTATCAAGATTATGATTAATTCGAACTTGACAAGTATGATAAATGTGTCGAACTGCCTCAATACGAAGACGACAAACCTAGTAAATCATGTCACATGATATGACTAACATAATTATCGAACCGTGTCATTATGCCATGTATCGATATGATACTATATGTTAACATATTTGCAAATATACGTTAACCTTTGGTATTACTGTGTACATGATAAACACTTAAACATGTTTATACACAATATCTCAATTTAACATGTTTAACACGTTTGTAAATAATAACAGTAATTTCACTTCACATTACATCTAGAGTTTATTATTGAGTTACCGTTTCTTATGTTCTATAACTTTTGCATCCCTGATGTGTTTTCATCATGCCCTTTATTCTTTTTTAAATGGGTTTTGTTATTATAATATTTTAAGAACAAAGATGTCATTAGACATGAGTATGAACTGTTAAAACTTAGCCGTGTTTAAAACACCAACACATTAGCACTTTAATTTAAATGTGTGGATTCGTGTCTGAGCGGGTTAAGCAAGTCAATTGCGTAAAGCACGATTTTTATTTTGTCACGAGCGGGATGACATAAATCCCTTTTGTGCCCCGTGGGATCTCGTAAACGGATGATGCTGAGGATTGCAAACAGAGTTAAGATTACCTAGATTGCCGTGTAAGACAGCTGCATGAACGGGCGACACGCCTTGAATCCTCGAGGTATCAAGTGGCACTGCCAACAGAAGCCTGAGAACCTCCAAGTTGCCACTCTCGACGGCCAGATACATCGGACATTTACCTTCATTGTTCTTCATATACATGGGTTGCAAGTCCTCACTTATCAAGATCTGAACCACTTCAAGGTGGCCGTTCACGACGGCCTCATGCAGCGGGGTGCTTCCCCTGTGGTTCTGCACTTGAACGAGAGCCCGCTGCATCTCGACCCCGCCGACGTCCGATGCCCGGCCGATGAGGACTCGGGCCGCGGGGGCCCTTCTGGCCCTGGCGGCCAAGTGAAGCGCGGTGTCTCCCCTGCAATTTTTCCCGGCCACATCCTGGTCGGAGAAGTGGCCTACGATGGCTCTCAGGATCTCGTCTCTCTCGAGGCCCGCGGCGACATGGAGCAAGGAATTTCCGGAGGGGCTCAGAATGACCCGCAGACACAGACGTAGATTGCGCTCGGAATAGTAACGTTCCACGACTCGGATGAATTCGTCCACGTCGCCTCGTTTTGCAGCAGTGAATAGCTCCTGGGTCGTCGTCTCATCGCATGAGACGGAGTCTTGCGTCAATAACGCTTCCAATCTCTGCAGCCTGTGCCTCCAGAGAGAATTCTCTTGCAGACTTATCGCTACGGCCATGATTTATTGGTCTAAGGAATGCTCTACTTGGACTCGTATGTAATTAACAAGGAACACAGCAGATTGATCGCATCGACCGCTCTACTCTGCTGCTGCGAGTCGCTCTTGATGAAAGTATATTTGGCGAGGTTGCACACGCCACTCGCGACGTCATATACGTTATTATAAAAGCCCGTCAAAATCACGTGGGCCCCGCATTCCCCCCCATCTCCGAACAAAAGTAGATGGTATTTGCTTTTTCGGGCATGACTTTTGTGACTTTGAAGTTCCTCGATCGGTGGCGGCTTTTCAGTGATTTTGCCGGATGAAAATGCAAGTTACTCCCTTTCCTAACCTCATCACAAATGAAAAAGGAAAACGGAATCCATTTTTCAGTTTCAATTTATAATTTTGATCGACACTTTTTGAGAATATTGTTTCAAATAAGACATTGCTATGTCTTATTTGAACATATAACCCAATGAATTCTCAAATTCCTTTTCATATTATATCATGCTATATATATATAACACCAGATAAGATAAATTTTATGTGAAAAGGTCGGAAAATTGATCATGAACATAAAGGAAATTTCATTGCATCTGCTTTTAGAGTAATTAGTAGTGACTCTGTAATATTCTGCGGAGTCTATGGAACAATTTTCGGATGGAATATGAGCAAGTTATGAACTTTTATGATTTGCTCTTTGGAAGAATTCATATTGCATGTTTCACGTGGGGATCTCTTTTATAAGTCGTAATGATTACACAACCAAGGAATAAGCATTAGAGTCCTCCTACAATGTCGGGGCCACTTTTCGCAGGACAGAAGTATTTATGCCTGACCGTGATTGTCGTCTGTCGAATTTGGCGGTACGCTTTTGCTGTGTGAAGAGCTACGGCCGAGAAGAAATACCCATAAGATGAACAGCTACGATTTGATTTGGATCACCACTCATTCCGAAAAGAACACCAGTTTCCGTCCATCCCAAAGTTACCATGACCAGTGAAAGGCATTGCTTATGTTAAAGTAAAAAGCATATTCTTTTCTTAGCTAAGAAATAGAAGCCCATTTTCGAGTGCGAGGAGAGAGAACTAGGATGTACTACTTTTGTCCCTCCGAAGAAATTGGACAATAAGACTTGGAAACAATGAGACTTACACTGGACAACAAGGAAAAACACACCCACGAATTCTCCCGTTTTAATCCATTATGTCCACCACATCAATCTATCCAATTTTTTTTCTCATTACTGATCTTTTCAAGGACCACCAAGGTGGTTGGCCGGGTTGGTTAAGGTTTATTTCCAAGGGATATAGAGCCCCTTGGTCACAGGTTCGAACTTCTAGGCGCTCCTCGATCTCAAGAAATCCTTATTCATCTGTGGCTTGAGTTCGACTTGTTTATAAGACACATGGATCAGATCTCAAGAAATCCTTATTCATCTGTGGCTTGAGTTCGACTTGTTTACGAGACACATGGATCACTCCGATTTTACTCCAACTTGCCTCCGGTGATATGGCGATGACACGCTCGCTTACAATGAGCAGTAGCTAAGGTTCAAAAACGTACATTCTGATCACGAGTGTCAAACTCCTATGGTAAGCCCTGAGAGGGTCCAAGACTAATCTTTTCAAACGAGCATTGAGTACATGCCCTGGTGCACCGTCCTTGGGACCTGATTTGAGGTATGCACATTCTCACCTAATTAAGACCTGCCTGAAAAGGCCTACATAATTGCAAGAACATGCATGCTCACTTAATTAGTCCCCTGTTCTTATTGATCTGTCCAATTGGGCCTTAATAGCTGGAGATCAGTTCAATCTCGGACTTCGTTACGGGCTAGGCTATTAGTGGCAAACGTAACCCAATGACCCTGAACAAAACTGGCGACATCCAAGCATGAGAGGTTGCCGCATAAGATTTTGCTCTGAAAATTGAGTGATCAACACAGCTGATGCCCACTATCGCGGCCACTGGGGTCGCGCCAGGTGAGTAACCTTCATCAGAGTGAATCGACAGAGGTCACGAGACTCACGTCCTTCATAGGGACCGGTTGCAAGCCCATGCAAAGAGAGAGACGGAGGTGCAGCGAACAACTCCAGCGAGTGAGAGGTTAATGTTGCCGGCAGATCGAGGTGCGACGGCAAGGGTTCATGACGGCAACGGGCGGGCGAGAGATCTGCCACGCGGCCTGGTCGGTTGGGGAAGAACAAAAACCACGGAAAAGGAAAAAGAAACATCTCGATCACTGAGTGTTCCATGGCTGGGATGTGAGTTCTCCTAAACACCTAAAATTTCTGCCATTCAGACAATTGAATATGTAAACAACTTTTTTTCTTTTTGTGCAGTTAGTACTCTTTTTAAAAAGAACAGTGTGAATTTTTATGCACTTAGCAACGTATAAAAATTGTGTCTAGGTACCCACCCATGGGTAGCTCAGTTGATTAGGGCGTACTTGGGATTGTGTGGTTAGGCGCACTGGTCCCAAGTTCGATTCCCCAGCTAAGCACTTGTGATTTAAATGGGGGGGCCATGGCGGTGGGTTGCTGTGCTAGTCTCCCCCGATGAATAGTCGAGGTGCGCGCAAGCTGGCCCGGACACCTTGGTTACCAAAAAAAAAAAAAAAAATTTGTGTCTAGGTGAAGTTACAAGAGCAAAGGTAAATAACTATACGCCTTTCAATGGTAATATTGAAAAATAATTGGTAACTTTTCCGTGACGAAAAGTAAATAACTATACATCTTTCAGGCGTATCAACCAGCGTGTTATACACATCTGCTTTAGTGTACTCATTCTTGATTGTATGAATACGTCCACCGGTTTCATTATTTTTCTTCCCCCGAGAGGCAACTGCAACATCAAGAGACTCAAAAAGCTTAATGAACAGTCAGGTTTGTAATCACTGTATAAAACAAATCTGCACATCTAAACACTTGTCATCAGGTGATCTTGGCTGGATTTTGCACATGGCTTTGTCCATCACGTTCATAATGAACAGCAAGCAGTAAGACGTGCAGATTTCAAAGTACTAGGATGCCTGAAGTTCTAGTTAAGAAATGCCCAACAAAAGTGAGTGCAGAAGATATGCAGTACTAATTAACTTGCATTAAACAAGAACTTCCTTCTTTTTTTTTTGGTAAAGACAAGAACTTCCTTCTTTATGAATTCTCTCTATGAGAATTGCCGAATGCATTCGAAGAACAGCTGCCCGTCAAATTTATTGATATCCACAGTAAACCAAGAGCTGTTCAGTTACTAAGCTTAGCTTTAACACAGAAGTAAGCCCTACTGACCACCCACAAGAGGACATGATTCTACAATTTCGTCTACTATACCATTTCGTGGTACAGCTTTTAATGCAACAGGCCATTCATACAGAAGAGGGATAATTTCAGATCTTCTCCATCTTCAGTTGTACCCCGTGTTCAGGCTCGAAAAACAGCTTATACGTCACAGAGTGTTTGTATTCTGGGGATAAAGAGAAAATGAACTTAGACAGCACGAGAGACAGAACTATCTTTAATTCTGTTATTGCAAAATTCTGGCCAACACAAGTACGTATCCCCGTCCCAAAAGGCACGAACAGATTCGGAAGCTTGCACGCCGAGGAAATGCCATTCGCAAACCTTTCTGGATGGAACTCGTGGGCATTGTCGCCCCAGTTGGCCGGATCCTGATGCAGCAGTGAGGAGGGGAGCCAGATGTTGACACCTTTCGGAATTGCAAAGTCCCCAAACTTCATTTCCTCGGACGTTTCTCTCGTCAAGAATGGTCCAGGAGAATATAGGCGCAATGTTTCGTAAATCACCATAGTTAACTGCACATGGAGAGAAAACAGCTGATAGGCGAGTAGTCCCATACTTGGATTATTTTTAAGGCTACATGCGGCTACTATATTCACATAAAGCTTCCATGTCAATTCAAAGACTAAGATTCTACCGAGGAAGCTCACTCCATAAACGATCCCTGGCTTCAGTTCGTCAATTTCACGTAAAATATCTCCTAAGAAGGGTCGGCTTGAATGTATGTGCCAGAACAAATAAATAAATAATTGATAGATTGATTGAGCCAGAGAAGAATGTGAAATACGAAGTTTGGGGCTAGAAATCAGATACTGCCCTGACTAACCCATGTCTGCCATTGCCCAGTGCGCATTTTCTTAGGTATGCGAATCACATGCATAATAGGCAAAAGAAAATCTAGAAGTACCAATTTCATTTTGTGCAGCTTATCCATATTCGGAGCTTGATTTGCAAGGATCTCCACCACCTCGGCACGCACGCGCTCCTGCCACTCAGGATGGTGTGCTAAAAGCACTAAAGCGAAGGTAGCGGCAGTGGCAGTAGTTTCATGTCCCGCCAAGAACATAGCCTTGCAATTATCTACGATGACGCTCGATCCACGACCGAAATTGTTAATTAAGGCCTGTAAGAAGCTCGGCTCGTCGGCGTTGTAATCATCGTCCATCAGCTTCAGAATAGATCGGTCAACTTCTTTTCCTATTCTCCAAGTGTCACGGGCAGTCTTTGTAGGAATATGCCTGTACCCATAATATTGAAGACATCAAAAACCAGCAAGATTGATATGAAATTATTTTGTCATGGAAGCATAATATAAGTGGGTTTAGGTTTCTTGAAAATTATCAGAAGGAACTTTTGCTACATATGTAACACAGCATATGAAACAGTAGCTGACAAAAGGTAAACATCTGGAATCATGTCAGCCTCCTTATATTGTCTGAATGAACGCTTGAATTTATCAGTCGCAACATGCAATAGAAAGCAAACTTTAACAAAACCATCGCCCCTATTAGAATCTGTTAACGCTGAACGAGGCGCCCTCACCTTACCCCGGGAAGACCAACAAAAGCATGCTGCTTGCTTAGCAAATCCTGAAGCGCTAACATCTTGGAAAAAATCTCATTGCCTATAACATAATTGCTGCCAAAACAAGCTTTTGATATCATTTCAGCAGAGAGGCTTTTTAAATCCTCGTCGATCCGTACTGAAGCAACTCCCCCCGCTTCCTCCATTTGAGATTCCCATTTTTCCAACACGGAGACGACAGATTCAACCATCATGTCCACCATTCCCTATGTAAAACAGAACAAGTAACATATAGATAGCTATTCTGTCAAAAATTAATTGCTTCGCGTGCAAGAACAAAGACAGCTCAAGCAAGAACTGTGCCGCTGTGAACTTGATAGAACCTGCCTAGCTAATTCCCACCTTTATTTTGTCACTGAAAAATTCGGGCGCAATGACTTTCCTCTGGAGCGCCCAGGATTTTCCTTTCGAAGTGACGAGGCTGTCATAACCCAACACAATTCCCCTGTTTTTTTTCACATATGCGGACCTTCCGAATTCAGCAGACTTGCATTGACAGAACTCTCTCGCTACATCAAAGTCGCATATGCATACGATCACTATGTTCCCCTGTGTGAATGCAAACACCAGACCTGCAATAACCGTAGCGCTCTCAGCAGGCAAAGATGATCTTCCTAAGCTACATATGCTTGTTTCACAATAGAAATAGTTGGTACATGTTACAGACATATCTAGTGAAAACTCCTAAACAAAAAGATGTGAACATTGACTGAAGTAGAAGAAAATATATTTACCATAGTCGGCTCTCCACTTCTCTATGTGGGGAAATAGGCGGGACATGTAATCATGCGAAACACGATTGCCGATGCTTTGTTGATCCTTGGTGGCTTGCATCTCCATTCGAATCTTCTTAATATCAGGGATGTTGCCAAAGAAAAAGGACGGCACAGGGCCATTGATTCCCTGATGCTGAAGCTTCTTTCTGAGCCGCAGCGGCTTCCACCAGAAGAGATTGTAGAGGTACAAGAACAAGCAAGTTGAGCCCACAATAACGAGAGAGAAAAAGACTCCTAAAGGCATAGTCACTGTTGTCTAAACTGTTGTACCAGTAGCTCTTGCTTGTTTCTTCTTAAATGAATCAAAATAGGTATCACAGGCTTCTTCTTTTTTCTTTTTAGCAGCTCGAAAATATGGCAAGCTGCAAATGGAAAACGAACAAGTGTGCTGCTGTTCCTCACTCGTAGATTCCTTTCTGCTAAAGGACAAGTACAATGTCCACAAACAATAGACTGATGAAGGTTGGCCTCTTTGTATAAACAACGCAAGAAGCCATAAAAAATTTAGTCAACTGTGATATCTGATTGGACTTGGGGGGAAAGAATCTGATTGCCAATTTGTTTGTTGTGCCTCTTTTAACTTATTTACATAGTTGGTACCTCTTATTGGTGCATTTTAATAGGATTATTCATTGGAGAGATCAACAAATTTTACCCTAAAGGACATCTAAAGGACGGCTGCAGCGGATCAATCGGATCAAGCTAAAATTAATATGGAACTGCTTGGGAGAGGTATCTGATTGGACTTGGGGGGAAAGAATCTGATTGCCAATTTGTTTGCTGTGCCTCTTTTAACTTATTTACATAGTTGGTACCTGTTCTTGGTACATTTTAATAGGATTATTCATTGGAGAGATCAACAAATTTTACCCTAAAGGATATCTAAAGGACGGCTGCACCGGATCGATCGGATCAAGCTAAAATTAATATGGAACTGCTTGGGAGAATGACATCCGAGAGGCTGTTTCTTTTTTCAGTACAACAGCATTCCAAGTTCAGATAGAGTCCAGATATATGAACAGCTCTAGAATTGAAATATGATAAAGAATTCTCTCTTTAAAACAGCACACAGAAATCTTCAGTGATGAATTCGGAACAAGACTAGGCCTGCAAAAATTCACCTAACCGCCAGACCAAGGACTCACTGACCTAGGGTGATGCTGCGTCTCGAGTGACCGAAGTTAGAATCCTGATGCACCTCCATAGCAAATTAAGGCTCAAAATCGTTAGAATAATAACTACCATCCACAATTCTTGAAGAGAAACCGGACAGTCTAATGTTTCCCATTCAGAGAAAAAAGAACCATGCGCCACCTCGATTGCATAGTCCGTAGTAGAAGTATACCCAAGGATGGGTACACGTTACCAGTGGGGGCCGCCCAACTTAGACAATGAAATGCTAACAATACTCTAAAATGACAAGTACAGGCAATGATGAACACAGAAACATATGGTCATAGCCTGAGCATGCGTCATATCAAGTTTCTCTGTTTCCCATGTTCATAAATTGAACAATAAAGTTAACTCCGATTGAAGTTCCAAGAAGAGATCAGACATGTACAACAATTTTGGCATCCCTTACATCAAAACAATCGAGGAAACCTTGCACGTAATTCTGGCCTTCTTTATTTAAACGCGATGAAAAGCACACACCGACTATCACAGTGATTTTTGAGCTAGTGATTGGAACTAGAAATTTTTAGGCAGGCCATCCCCTCTGTGAAACTCTAGAAAAATGGACATTCCAGCTATCAAGGACAGCATTTAAATCCGTGGACTGCCACTTTCCTCCAACCTCTGAATGACACTCGCCCCATAATCACCCTCAAAGCCCATGCTCACTAGCTTTGAGATCAACTCGTTGTAGGAATGGTTTCGAACAAACTGCGAGTGTGACTAGGGTTCTAAACCACCAAATTACCACCTGGGCCTGGATGGGGATTCTGAACAGGGATTGCTCTCCATTGCCTCCACCAAACACAGGGGCAGCTAGGCTTCATTTGCGGCTTCCTGATGCTTTTGTTTGCCTCTTGCTCTCTCTTGTTGTTCTCAATGTTTTGCTGCTCTAAATTATATAGTCCCCTCCTCTCTCTCTCTCTCTCTCTCTCTCTCTCTCTCTCTCTCTCTCTCTCTCTCTCTCTCTCTCTCTCTGCAGACATGATATGATATGATCTTTTTTGTCTATGTTGTGATCAATAGTTCCAGCTGTGGTTCAATTCCGTAATAGAAACCACGTCGATCAGCATTGCCTTGATTATATAATTTCTTTCATTCATTGCACTTCAAATATCTCACTTCGATACCATTCCGCTCATTGGATTTCCTTTCTTTTGGTAAAACTAAAGTTTCTCACCAATCACATGCTACTTTGGCAGCTTAAGATTTTATCGGCACAGTACATTTGTCATCTGAAACTCTAATAGCAACAAGAAATTCTGCCAAAGGTGGTTCGGTTTCCTGTTTTCAAAAACTTACAAATTTCTTTCCTTCTAGATCTGCCAAAGCTGACGCAGCTAGGATTTCTTCAACTGGTAGGTTTTGATTTACACTCATGTCATCTGATTCGCTCAGGAAGCAGAGTTCCATTCTTGACAAACCATCGGTGTTTATCCTTTTCGCAGCAGACTGTTCTCCCAATTACACAACAGATGCTTGAGGGTTTTTGGGCTTCATCTCCATATAGGACTTAATGGGTAAGGTAAAATCTTCCCATGGCAAAGATTTTCAGATGTAGATAATGCATTCTATAAAAAGTATGAACCAGCCCTCTGGAGAGAATGTCAATCCTTCCTTTAGCAGAACCTTTATGTACAGAATGGATGTGATTTTCATTGGTTTACCAAATTTTATTCCAATCTTAGCCAAGATACTCGAATCTTGGCGTGCCGGTTGTCCGATTTCTAGAAGCCATGTGATTGGAAAATGATATGGGTTAGAGACATTTTAGTAGGTCAGACTTCTTGAATTGGAAACAGTTCATTGGGGGTGGCCAAAGACGACATTTTACAATCCCATCAAGTGCAGAAAGGTTGCATCACCGAAAGAAAGAAAAAGAACAGCCCCAAAAGTCAAATGTCTCATTCAAGAAAAGACATGACGCACCGGCCGTTGGCCATATTCCTTTACAGGAAGGGCACGCTACTAAGAAAAGCAAAATTGAAGCTGGGCGTCGTCTATGATAATCCCACCTTTTATTTTCATTTCGATATTAAAGAAAATATGGTTTTATATATTTGAAGGAATGCTAGCATGTTTCACAATGTCCATTCATCGAAAGAATCTCAACTTACTATACATAGTTCCGAAGGAAAATTCGACGATGTTTCCTAATTTTCCTAAATTCACATGGTCACGAAGTCTCGACATTCCAGTGGGGCATCATCGCGTGCACTTGCCCGTGTACAATGTGAAAGGATGCAAGGCTTCACGTGATAAGAATTGAATAATGTCTAAAGAGCTGGGGGTCCATGAGATTTACATGTCAATGCGAGCGATCATTCTGTCAAAAGATTAGTGGCACGTCTTTATCCCTTTTCCTCCTATTGCCAAAGATAAAGAGCATGAAAAAGAGATATATGGGGAGGAAGATCCACGGAATCGTCAGCTTAGCCTTTGGGAAAACTTTTTCCCCAGCCATAAGTAACTTGTCACTATGATCGAACATGTTGCGGTACAGCTTCGAGATATAAAGCAAAGATTCAAGGGATGGCCGTCGATGCCGGCCTCTCTACCTAAAGTGAGAAATAAAGCATAGGCAGAGGACAAATGTATTTCATGTCTTTCACACAGGTGCTACTTTCTCGAACTCGTCGATGATGTCGATTAGGGGTTGCAAAAGTTTGGACCTTGAACTCCTTTCCCGAAGGTAAATCCGAGTTTTCTTAAGAGGATCTCATGATCCAGTTAGTCCTAAAACATCTAAGCATATGCATGGGAATGACATCGTATGCCCGGGATACTAAAGCCCCTGTTGTCATGCTATGCTTCACCCGAACATCAGTAAAACACAGAAAAAAAACACTATAGACGCTTGATGAAAGAAACATATTTCGGCAAAGCCCGACATAGGATGGCTAATGTATGAGAGGAATCATGCGGCATGGCGATCAACGAATCCCCAAGTATTTCATCACGACGCGCCACGCGCGCATATCGAACCTGCCTATAGGCACAGGCACGAACTAAATAAAAAATAAATAAACTCATTTCGACACTGCTATTCGAACTGGCAGGACCCTCAAGACTTACCTAATAGAGCCAACAAGAAGAACCGAAGGAATCTCTCCTAGTGCAATTAAATCCTGAGCCATGAATAGACACTTTTACCATAACAACACAGCTTGGGACAGAACAGAGAGGGAATAATCATGTCTCATTAGATACAACATCAGTACCTTCGCAGATCAGTACAATGAAAACTAAACAGAGCAAGCTGTAATAATATGAATTTTTCTAAAATTTCTCGTTATTTTCCTTAAAAAGGAAGTATTTAGTAGACTACAGGACAGCCCAGAAAACCTTTTTGCCTTCTGCTGCAAGAACAAATCCCCAAAAACATTCGCGATTTTTGTCCCTTAATAAAGAAAGCTCCTTGTCGATCCCTCAGACAAATCCCACACGAACCCAGAAGAGAAGGAACCCGAAGAGAGAGGAAAAACCGAAGCTTTCGTCGCGGCTCCCCTTCCTCCCGCCGGAAGAGCCGCGGCGGCACAACTCCGGCGGCACCATCATCTGTGAGCGGTGACCAGTGTCTCGATGAACCTCAGCCCGTCGAACCTCGGGGCGAACTTGTCCCCGGAAGAGGCGGGCTTCGCCTTCGCGCCGTCTTCTCGATCTCTCCTCTCGCCGTCGCCGCCCTGAGAAAACCCCCCAAGCAAAGCACGGAATTCAGCGAATCGCCGCAATCGGGAACTCGCGGGAGTCAATGATCGCACCGAGGGTAAAGAGGCTCAATACCTGGCGAGAGAATTGGAAGCTCGAGCAGCTGCAGTTGAAGTTCGTGGACGACGAAGACGACGACGAAGACGAAGACGAAGACGAAGAAGAAGAAGCTTTGATCGCAGTGGCCGCAGCGACCGAGGCCGCGAAGACTCCAGATTTCTTCATCGTTTCGGAGGAAGGAAGGTTTCGTAAGGGGGCCGAGAAAATTCGGACTGTCGAGAGAAAATCGGAGAGAAAGTGGCGAGAAAATTTTTTCTTCTGTGGGGGAAGACGTCGGCACGCGGGCCAGATATTTATAAGGGGGGGGAGCTCCGGCGACGGGTAATCCCGGCGTGCGAGATTACCATTTTGCCCCCCCCCCCCCCCCCCCCCCCCCGCGCTGTTTCGGTTTTGTGTTTTTCTCGGGTCTCTCGTCCAATGGGATTATTTTCTCCTGAGTTAGAAGGTCTCGATTTCCCGGCGAGTCAAAGTCAACGATCCCGCACGAGGGGTTGCTGGAGAAGAAGTGAGGACCCGATCAAAAGTTCCGAGCTCCAATAGGAAGTAAAGATCAAATCTCGTGGCGAAGAAAGAAGGATCGATTTTTGGAATATTTTCACCTCAGCGGCACGCCTAAATTGAAAGAGACTTTGTCTTTTCCTCTAAAAAAAAAATTCAAAATGTTATCTAAATTTCGAACAATCAGAGCGACGGTTATACGTGAATTTACATGTCGACATATGTGTATCATGGAAGTGTTCGGGTGTTTCGGGTAAAGAAAAAATCAAAATGGGTCGGATGTTAGATTTATGTTATGCATAAAGGAAAGGTTTCTCTGGACATGACCATTTGATTCCGACCGTGATTATTTTATTTAGTTTCGTTTGAATTTCAGTTGAGATATATCTCTTAGTCGAAAAACAAATCGCCAGTACCTCGATCTTGTTAAGCGTATTCTTACTAACCATAAAGAAATAATGACGGCGTAAACGCCATCTAGTAGTTATGAATCGGAGCAAGCTCATAATTTATTCACGGAGTCGGAGAAGAAACTGCTCGATTGATAGCATGGGCGGCACTCGTATCATCTCATGGTAAATCACGTTACCGGCCCACATCGTGCAGAATGAAAACTGCCGTATCATCGAGAAATCGCACGTCTTTCATCAGACGCGATCGAATAGGATATGAGCATGTCATTAAGCAGTATTCGAGATCTCGATTCAAATTAGCCCGATTGAAACATTCTCTTTTGGGCGGGGGGTTGTAACAAAGCTCCGTGAAGACAAAATCGGGTGCTCGAAGGGTTTCGGACAACCTTTTCAGCGGTCGATAAATAAATGACGTCTCGCGTGCTACGAGGAGGAGTGGGCAGTTACGTAACGAGGGAGGGGTATTTTCGTACCAAAAGAATGGCTATGCTCCGAAGTACTTCCGCGGCACGTCGATGCTGATTTTTTTCCAAGGGACGACTGGCTGAGAAGAGAAGCTTCAAGTCCTGTCCCCCAGCCACTTTGAACTACCACCACAGCCCAATCATCCGGCGACACGTGTATGGAAACGATGGGGCCACGTGAGCCGCGGTTGGTTTCACGCGTTAGCACTAGATGTTCGGAGAGAGAGAGAGAGAGAGTTGGAGATAAAAACGACAGACGTTTTTGGAGGTTCGTAGACGTCAATTTCCCAATTCGGCCCATCCCCGCCCCTGCCAATTCTGACATTCTCGTCGGCACGGTCATGCTCCGAAACGACCATATCTCCCACTTTTGCTCATTAGTCATTTCTAGCTTCTTCTTCTTCTTTTTTCTTTTTCTTTTTCTTTTTCTTTTTTTGTCTAATGTCGAAGGGAAGCCCGTCGTCGTGGATAGACGGATCCCGATCTATCGAACAACCTCCGGGCTAACCTGATAGATCGGGTGAGGTGCCAACCTACACGCGAGTGAATGGATGGATGATACATTAATATACTCGCTAAGGCCGTCAAATGGGTGGCTCGAGTGGGATTTGGGTTAGAAATGATCTGATCTAAATTGACGCATTTATATCCAACGGAAATTTAGTAATCCATGCATGATTCGTCACGTCCTTGACCCGACCATTTGCTAAAACATTTACGTGTTTAACCCAACCTATGAAAATCTTAATCCACCTAGTTAATTCGTTTTAAGCTCTTCGTGGGTATATGTTATTTGGATAAAATTGCTATTTCGACTGTAAGATGCTAAAGAATTATCTTTCAACATTGCATAGAATTTTCAATTTCTATATTGAGTCGCAACGAAGAATAAGAGAAAGTTAGTACTTGGTATTGAATTTATAAAATTACAGCAACAGATAATGCGGAGGAATTGAAATGACAAAGATATTGAAAAAGATAATTTACTCGGACCATGGATTGCAATGACAAAAACTAATATTAGAATATTACATAAAAATAACAATGTCAAATGTAACCATGGAAAGATATATTCTAATAACTAACAGATGAAACTTACAAAATTAATAACAATAAAAATAATGGGGAAAAAAGAAGCCGTCTTGATATTTTTAATAAAGGTGAAATTAGGCCATCTTGCGAGCGCACCAACACTTCTCTAAAATTAGAACGGTTCAAGAAGTCCATTATTTTCTCATGGAGAGTGAAGAAAAAGTCACAAAGTGGGTTGGGTTAGGTAAAATGTGAACCATTTTCTAGTCAGCAATCTCGAAGCACCGCCTTTTTTTCTTTTGGCGGTCTGTACAATACCGGATACCACGCATCACACGGGGGCATCTCGCGACACGACAGATGCGAGAACAGTACACAGAGACCCATTCAGGGCTCTTTTCCTAAGGACCAGCTCAACGAAAGTGGCTATGTGAAAGTGAACGAATCCCTTCCATGAATCAGAGCAAAAGTGGCATGCCATGCCATGCCACGGAATTGGAGGGGAATGAAAGATGAAGATGCTACAATAATGACAATGGAGATATAGAAAAGCGCCACTTCCAAAGGTCAAACATATGCACAGGAGAGCCCATAAAGGCAAAGGAAAGAATCCTATTGGCTCTCCACAAAGGGCAAAGTGCGGCTCAGTACTTATTCCTGAATTTTTAGTGGCGAAGTCACGCTTCGAAAGATGATCTTTCCTTCCTCCCCTCCATTTGATATTATGATATTCGATCATGGTTTGTTCCTCTGATGCAATTGCAAGCCATTGACTACGTCTATCGACCGCTCAATTTGATATCTGGGGATTTTCTTGCTTTTTGACCTTGACAAAAACATGACATAGGCAAGCTCCATAAGTCATGAGAATAGTTCAGACGTGTGGGAAACAACGACAAGGAATCTAGGAGGCAGCAACAAAACAAAAATATGTTATGCAATGAAGAACGAGGTGAAGGAAGATTTTTGTGGGAATAGTGTGATGACCTCCTACTTCTCTTTTCGAAAATCGAAACCATCCGTCTATTTTTATTTTCTTTCGGTTAGACCGTCCGTGTGATTTTCAGAAAGTTGCTCCATTCGTTTCTCGGTCAATCTTCTATTCTATCCGGCTGGTTTTTGCTGATATGGATTGTCGGGAAGCTGGGTTGGCGTCCGGGAAAGCTGAGTTGGCGATTGGGAAGCTTATGTGGATTAAATGAAATAGAAAAAATATATATAAGAAGCCATAATGAATAATTAAAAATGCACAAAATAACAGGAAAATAGTGAAATCAAAATTATTAGACAAAAAAAAAAACCCTAGCCTTGACTCTTGCTGCGTCTGAGCTTGAGCATCCATGGCCGCGACATGTCGAAGCTCTCGCGTAGCAAATTTTCAATGGCGATAACATCGCGTAGTATATTTTTACGGCGGTATTGACATCTCCACCAAATCCATCGTTAGAACGGTCCAAGGACGATTGGTGGCATTTTATGGAAAGTAGAGGGACATTTTTGGAAAACAAAAGTGAAATGATGATGATTTTGATTTTCGACGGGAATTATACGGGTAATATGATCCCTAATTTTGGGCAATTTCAGTTATGTGCTCTCGATTAGCCTAATACAAACGGTGCGCATATCTAGAGTCTTGTCCGAAAGCTATAAGATCGCGATTGTTTTTAAACTAATTTTGACGAAATTATTTGGCATAGGATGCTGTCGACGAACTTGTTTGGCATACTCTTTTGTTTTTTTTGATAATCGAGGTGTCCGCGCGGCCGGCGAGTTAGGGCTCAAACCAGCGGTGATGCCCGACTAGTCCTCGAGGGGGGCTAGCGCAGCATCCCACCGCCACGACCCTCCACTTAAATCACCGATGGGCGAGTTTGAACTCAGGACCTCTCGTGAAAGGAACTGAGCGCAAACCAACGCGGCCACCGATGAGTGGGTTGTTTGGCATACTCTTTGTTGGCTCATCTAACAAAATTGCTTGTGTTGGCAAGCTTGTCCCCTTGTAGATGGACGACCAAAGAAGTTAACTAAGAAATTCAATGACGGCTGATAAAGAAAGCAAAGCAGAGCAGCGTCCGTTTGGACGAGCTCCGGCGAACAAAATCCGAAACGGCTAGTCATGATCGCTAGGTTACTTTGCGAATCTGAGGATTGATCGCGCCGTCCTCGAGCAACCACGGCGAGGTAATTTCCCCCACAGCTAGGAGTCGAGAGTTGGTCAAGAGGGTCGATCCTCAATACCTCATCGGTTATGCAGGTACGAGATTGATCGCTAATGACTGAAAAAGACGGAGCTTGTAGCATGTCGCGAGCCACCCGATGCACCCATAATGAATCATGTGAAGGACTAGAAGAGCCCAAAGCCTTCTATGATCAGTTCCATAGAAATGCTTTCCTGGTATTGATTCCTGTTCAAGCATGAACGTTTAGGACTGACTGGTGCATTAGGAAGCCCTCTGTTTCATCCCAACATGATTTGTGTAGTAGACAGAAAAGTACAGAGGCCATTAGGCAAGAAGTATCATAGGATTTGCCTACCAATATGAGCCACATTTAATTACTTAAAAAAGGTTAGAAGTGACAGCACATGTAAGAGAAGCATGAGCTCGTGCGAGAAAAATGGAAATCCTCTGGGGATTCCAACGAGTGTGGACAAGGACAAGCATGTGATATGACTTGGAATGGAATGACAGGCATGTGGAGTTGATTTTGCAAGAGGCAAAGAAAAGTCCCATTTCAGAAAGTATAAACTCTATCCGGAACCTCCCACCATTCCCTATCATGGAGCCAAAAAAAAAGGTGCAGATAGTGACACAACGATCCACTTCCCACAGGTCAAGGCAAAGGAAAATGATAGAATGACTTTCGGCGGAGAAGAGCCATATGCCAAGAAACAGCAGAAAAAAGTTGTGGCACTAGGTTCCTATTCAAAGTGAGGAAAAGGAACGACAAACAATGCCAATATAGTTACAGCACAAACATTATACAGTCGAGCTTGTCATATGGATAAGTGTCTCGGACAAGATCCTGCTCATAGCACCTTTCTTTTTTCAGAAGATGACCAGTAGAAGAAAATTTAACCCAAAATACAATGGCTTCTTACGGCCATCCTAGACACCTTGAAATGGGCACGACCAACAGGAGTCCGCATATGATCTGATTTTCCGACTTTGGTTTTGAGTACAAACAATGGTTGCCAGGATCGGCACCTCAAAACTGTGGAATTCCGAAGAGAAGTATATAAAGGTAACAAGGAAGCAACCAATATCCGCTACTACATACAACAATAAAAGAACCTTTCTTTTGAGCACTTTGGCATTCCATGAAGCGTCTTCTTCAGCAAGAAAAATGCGCAACTTGACACAAGCTGCTAATGTGCATTCACTCGCGTGTGAGCATACTGAAAGTGTTTCCCCACCCCATTATAAGCGGGCATCATAACATTATTCTTAACCATGATGGCAGAAGTTCATAGCCGCAGCAAGTAAAGGAATAGGTTGAACAGAAGCATTAAGTGGGTACTGCAGGGCCCCTGTTAATTTATTCTTATTTCTATCAATGTCATTGGAACAATTTTGACTCTCTTAAAAGGTGCATCTCATACAAAAATGTCACCACCGGGCCAATTCTTGCTTACCCATTAGATGAACGCTAACCACAGACTAAATTCAGCAGAGGTTAACTTGATTGGAATCTTGTGGAGACGAGGCACAAGCATTTGAAACAGTAAGGATTGAGGCAGCTGCCTGAAAAATCCATGTCAAGCCTTGAAATCGTTTATTTCACAGCAGATAAAACTCCAAGCCCAGTTCTACAGCAACACTAACAACAGAGAAACAAACTTTTCAGTAGCAGCCGACCATAGTCATCCCTGCCAAGAAAAGAAGAACTATCAAGTTCCATTTAAGCTGCAATCCCATCTCACTTATGCCTTGAAAAATCATGGAAAAACAAAAATGGGCAGTAATAAAAGGCCAACTTAAAAGCACAAAGCGCCAGCATTTTGGCATTTGGAAAGCAAAAAATTGTAGAAATCCTTATCCCATCATTTAAAGAAGCTGTTCTTTCTGCGACATGCTACAATTAAGATGACAGATATCGGAAATTCAATGATACCAAACAGAAAAAAAGAAGGATCACGTTGACTTTCAATCCGATTATCGAAAGAAGATAAGGATCTTCTATAAAGGTGATTCAAGTCTTAGCTCATATGAAGGCATTAGAACTTTTACCAGGCAGAAAAGCAAAGTCAAAAGAAACCATCTGTAGAAATCACAAACTTGGCAAGGGAGGTGTAGAACAGCCATGTAACCATAAGGAAAGGGCACACCACAACCTATGTTTCCTCAAACAGCTACAAGAAAAGTCATTGCTATAAGGGGGCCAGTAGCCTTTGTTTTTGGGTGAACTGATAGCAATTTTCACTCTCCCAATTGTGAGATGCATGTCGCTGTACCAGGCATTTTGCGGATGAAAGTCCAATGAGAAACGTCAAAACAACTCAATGACCTTGTGGACCAACTAAGTTACCATACCAGGCGCTTACAAGCACTCAAAGATACAGAAAATCGAACATGTATGGCGCTCAGCTCTCCTACAGGACAAACCTCTACGTTTATTGAACCACTAAGCCAGCATCTCGTGTTTGTGCCACCATCCTCATACATGAACCGATCATTGGAGACATCTTCTCAGTAAATGGCGATGTCTACATGTCATGGTAGGATTTCTCCCATACCCATGTGAGCTGAAAAGTGAAGTTATGTGGATCAAGGTAAGTGTCAGAGATGCATAAGGGTTGACACGACCGATTTATGAGAGTGGTGACAATGTGTATGTATTAGAAATTTAAGGATGGGATGATTATCATCTTAAAAGAATCTCTGAAGGCAGAGTTGTCCTCCCACGCGCAAAATGGCCGAGAACTGATGCGGCTCTCCTGATGATGGGCACGGCGGGCCGAAACCAGCTACTATGCCTAAGTGATCTATATGTCTCACTTGACAGACTGGATACACGAGCTAAAGTGGGCAGGGTGCGATCATTGATAAGGATGCAATTTGCCAAACTGTCCTTGCGAAAGATTTGTCGAGGGAAGGTCAGCTTGGTGTTCGTGCTCATCGGTCTTGCATGGGCTTGTCTTCAGCAAGGAAAGTTGTGGCTCGTGACAACTGGTATAAGAGCATGTTTCCCAAACTATATGGGCGAATGCCAAGAAGAGATTTGTTGCAACGTTTTGCAATAAGAAGAGAAAACCTCCATAGGTTGCTAAGATCAAGAGAAGCCTAGTACGAGAAAGAAAGTGTTTGCTAAGGAAGCGTAGTTCGCTCCTAATGCCACACTCGTCAAGGAGAGCACAAGTGACTGGAGAATCACGAATAGCTTTGATCGGAGGCAGCAACTGATGGAGTGGAGTCATCTACGAGCGTTTGCCACTAATGTCAGTCCCAAGAGAGCGGCAGTAATTGTTGAAGAACACAAGCAAGTGACAGTATAGCCTACAGCGAGGGTGTTGCGGAAATTGGGTAGGGAAAGTATCGCACTCCGACTTCTCCCATTCCCATGCAGACTGAAAAGTGGAGCTTTGTAGCGTTAGGGCGAAGTGAGATGCAGAATGGTTTATACATCTAGTTCGCAGACGTGGCGTTAAAATGTCCATGTAGGAACCTAGAGATGGGATATAATTATCATCTTTGAGGGTCTTTGAAAACGTAGTTGGCCTCCTATACGCAAACTAGTCATAAGCTAATGCTGCTCTCCTAATGACGGCCACGGCAAATCGAAACCAGTTGTTATGCTGAAAAAATCTGTATGTCTCACTCGAGGTCTACTGAGGGAAGGTTAGCATGGCGTTCCGACTCATCAGGCGCCACACATCTCCCCCCCCTTCCTTGCTATGCGATCGACCTTCTCTTCTCGGTCTCAAATCTTGCAGTTGAGTAAACGAATGCATACACTCTACTCTAACACAAACTATCAATGACTTCATTACTGCCACTAAAACATGATGCACATATTGACTGCACAAATAGCTTCACCGACAATTTAGAAAGAGCAAACAATGAAGAAAATATCTCGGTTGGCATTTGCTGCGATGGAGGGAAGTGAATCACACCCTGAAAATTCAAGTTACCACCTACAGAGAGAGAGAGTGAGTGATCATCACCTTCACGATCGAGAAGCCTTCATCGAATCGACGAACCCGCTGCTGAGAAGCCTCTCCACGTACTTCCCCAGTATGTCCACCTCCAAATTCACCTTCTGCCCAACTCTCTTCATGGGGATGACCACCTTCTGCTGCGTATACGCCACCAGCATGAAATTGAAGCAACCCTCCCCATCGAACACGTCCACCACCGTCAGGCTCGCCCCGTCGACGGCGATGAACCCCTTGGGCACCACGTACCGCAGCAGCTCCTTCCCCGCCCTCACCTTCACCCACAGCGAGTCGGCCTCCGGCTCCATCGACACGATCTCCCCGGTCCCGTCCACGTGGCCCTGCACGAAGTGCCCGCCCATTCGGCTCGTCGGCTGCACCGCCCGCTCCAGGTTCACCATCGACCCCGCCCCGAGCTCGACCAGGGACGTCCTCCGCAGCGTCTCCGGGGACAGCCCGACCGCGAACCCGGCGGCGTCGAACTCGGTGACGGTGAGGCACGCCCCGTTGACGGCGATGCTGTCGCCGAGGCTGACGCCCTCAAGGACGGCCTTCGCGCCGATCCTCATGACGAAACCGCCGTCGGCCTGGCCCAGCTGCTCGACGCGGCCCATTTCCTCGACGATTCCAGTGAAGAGGCATCGGACTTGGGGGTTCCGGCGGGGCCTCAGGAACGGCTTAGGGTTTCGGCCGGAGAGGGAGAGGGAGAAGAAGGACGATTTGGGAATGGCGGCGTGAGCGAAGCGGGATTTGAGCGATGTGGCGCGAGGTGGGAAGAGCGGGAGAGATGGACGGAGCTTTGGGGTTTCGGCGAGTGGAGGAGCGAGGGAGTGAGCGAGCGCCATTTTTCTCGGGAAAATTTTCAGATTCGAGAAACCGTCGGGAAAGTTGGGGGGAGGAAAACGGAAGTTGAAGCTCCAGCACGTGAGCGGCACGTGCATTCGTGTTCTTTCTTAGGACTCCATAGGATAAAACTTAAAAGGGAGGAAATTAATGGCATAAATGGTCTCTAAACTTTGATTCGACGTGTAATGTGATATCTGAACTATTAATTTTTTCAATATAGTCCCAACTTTAGCCCAATGTGCAATATCGTCCCTGAACTTTTGATTTGTTCAATGTGATCCATGGACTTTTGGTAAATGTTCAATTTAATCCCTAAATTATATGAAAATGTTTAGTATTGTTCCCAAATTTAAATTAATGGAAGGACAAGATTGAACATTTTTATATAGTTCGGGGACTATATTGAACATGTTCCAAAAGTCTATAGACCACATTGAACAAATTAAAAGTTTTTGGACCACATTACATATTGAGCTAAAGTTTAAGAACCACATTACACATTGGGCCAAAGCTCATGGACGATTTGTGCCGTTATCCCTAAAAAAAGATAATTGAACTTTGAATCAATATATAATATAATCCCTAAACTATTAAATTTTTCAATGTGGTCCCCTGAACTTTTTGTTTAATATAGTCTCTGAGCCTGTGGTACATATTCAATCCATGAATTATATAAAAATGTTCAATATTTTCATTCCATTTATTCAAGTTCAGGGACAACATTAAACATTTTCATATAGTTTAGAAACTAAATTAAACATATACCAAATGCTCAGGAACCACATTGAACAATTCAAAAGTTTAGATACGACATTGCAAATTAGGTTAAAGTTTAGGAATCATATTGAACAAATTAAAAGTTCAAGGACCACATAATAGATTGAGCCCAAATTCATGGACTATTTGTGTCATCTTCCTAAAAAAAGGGGGGGAGGGGGACCGGTCTCATTTTTAATTGTAATTTTCCTGGACTTGTCAGAATTAATCAATACCTACAACGATTGTATCTACATGTAATATCGTTATGTGGTTCATAACTCGGCTGCACTTGTAATTAGTAATTTTCTTATATAGACGGTCGCATTTAATAATTAACCAATAGTGCAATAAAATGCCTTAAATTTACGTAAATGATCGTGCCTATTCTATACTTAGTAATAATCCTCGATAATTGCAATTTTCCCATTAAGCCTTTGTAAATGACAAGTTAGTTAGCTTCCACATGAAATAATTTACGTCCAAATTTTGTTAGGTAAATATCAAGTGTTCGTGACTTTTCATGAAAAAAAAAACAATCTGAATATATGGTGAATCTATATTTTTCCTATTCGAAGTAGTTAGTAACTTAGGTTGAACATAACCTGTCAATCAACGAGTAATTATCTTCATATGGCGTACTTTTCTTCAAATATTAATAGCATGGACGATTCTACCATCAGTAATTATCCTCGATCGTCCGTAAGTCGCTATCTTTTTAAAATTACATGACGGTTGGTTTTTTCTTTCGTTTTTCATTTTGATCAAACGATCCACGTTGCATACGAATCGATCCGTAAATTGCTAGATTGGACCATAGTATTTCCCCCACTCAATAGCAAATTCGAATGCTGAGAACTTGTCCTTGTCTCTCCCTAGATAACAAAGCAAATCCTCTCTGTCATTCCAACCTCAAACTTGTGTTTTTGCCCAAAGGGCCACGTACGATGGAGTTGAATTGTAACTTCATGCAACACGCGATGTCTCCTTCAAGCCTCAACCAAAGAGGCCTTCTCTGCTGCTGAAAACCATGAATTCTGGCCATCTAAATCGAGAGAAAGGTAACGTGGGGGACAAAGGTCCAGATAGCCAATGAAATGTTGGGAGAAAGGAGAGCATTTGGGTGTATGTTTGGGGTGACAGGTGAGCATATCCAACCAAACCCAACGAAGAACAAGTCATACTGAAAGCGAAAGCGAACCATCCCTCATCTTCCCCTTCCTAACATCCTGCTAATCTCACGCACTCGCTTGTCTCCACAGAGATTAAAAGCTCAAGTATCACCCCCAGAGAGGAACGTGCTGTCGTGAGCCCGACCGGCGAAAGAGCGAAAGACTGATTTTGCTGCGGGATCCATGGCCAAGGTCAGGAGGCTATTTGGCCTCGTGCTGAGGCTACTCGCCTTCGGAGCGACCGCGTCGGCGGCTATCGTGATGGGGACGAGCCGCCAGAGAGCCAGTGTCTTCTCGATATCTTTCGAAGCCAAGTACAGCGACATTCCGTCCTTCAAGTGAGTCTGCTTCGTCGAGTCGTGCGTCGTTAGTTCCCTTTCGGGTTTACTTCATGCTTGCCTTCTTAGTTGCCGTCACGAAGAGCTTTTGATGTAGGTACTTTCTGATTGCCAATGCCATCGTTAGCGTCTACAGCTTTCTGGTCATCTTTCTTCCGGCGGAGACCTTGCTTTGGAGACTAGTTGCTGCATTCGATTTGGTAAGCTCGAAAACCTTGGCAACAAAAAAACGACGATGGTTTAGTGTTTTTGGCGATGCACGCGGCCCACGGCTGAGGCCGTCCATTGAGCTGGTCCCGAAGGGGTATTGCAATCCCAGGACTCATCGGTTAATTTACTGATCTTTCTTTTAACTGAGCCTTCATTGCTCAATCAACGTGCGGGATGCCCACTCTGTTACAGGCTTCTCACTTCTTTTTGACTGATCTTTCTTCTCGTACTCTGGACCAGGCTGTCACCATGCTACTAACTTCGAGCATATCTGCGGCGTTGGCGGTTGCTCAAGTGGGCAAGGATGGAAACGCTCACGCAGGATGGCTACCAATCTGCGGCCAAGTCCCCACGTACTGCGACCACGTGACCGGAGCTCTAGGGGCCGGTTTCGCTGGGCTCATTTTGTACGTGATGATACTCCTTTATTCCTTACACACTGTCCTGTATCCTCTCCTAGTTTGAGGGATTTACACCCCAGCAGACGACTTTAGACTATGTATATGAAGTTTGAAGAATTTTTGCTTGGACTTTAATTTCCCAGCATCCTTTCCCGGCAATCTATAACGCTAGACTTACAAGGAACCCTATGAAGGATCAACCAGTGTGTTGCATATATCTGCTTTAGTGTACTTGCTCTTATTTGAATGAATACGTCCATCCATTCCACTATTTTTCTTCCCCTGAGAGACAAATGCAAAATCAAGAGACTCGAGAAGCTTGATGGACAATCGGGTTTGTGATTACTGTGTAGAGCAAATCTGCACATCTCGACACTTGTCACTTATCAGGTGATCTCGCCTAGATTTTGTACATGGCTTTGTCCATTACATTCATAATTAACAGTAGTAAGACTCGGGGAGTTCAAGGTAATAGGATTCCTAACGTTACTAGCGAAGAAATGTCCAACGTGAGTGAGTCAAGGAGATACGCAGCACAGCAGCATTAAACAAGAAGTTCTCCAGTTTTTACTGAATGCATTCAAAAGCAACCGCCCGTCAAATTTATTGATATCCCCTGGAAGCCAGGAGTTTTCTAGTCACTAAGCTTAGCTTTTACACTGAAGTAAAACCTACTGACCGGTGACCACTCGCAAGAGGACATGATGCTACAATTTCATCGGGAATACTTTTTCGCGGTACAGATTCCAGTGCAACAGACGAAACATTCATACACAATCTGGACAATTTCAGATCTTCTCCATCTTCAGTTGTACCCCGTGTTCTGGCTTACAGAACGGCTTATACGTCACCGAGCGTGTGTATTCAGGGGATAAAGAGAAACAGAACTTAGATAGCACAAGAAGAAAACAACTATCTTTAGTTCTGTCATCGTGAAATTCTGGCCGGCACAATTTCGTATCCCCGTCCCAAAAGGCATGAACAGATTTGGAAGCTTGCACGCTGAAGAAATGCCACTGCAAACCTTTCTGGATGGAACCTGTGGGCATTGTCGTTCCTGTTCCTGATGCAACAGCGAGATTGGAAGCCAGATGTTAACACCTTTCTGAATCACAAAACCCCCAAACTTCGTTTCCTCGAACGTTGATCTCGTCAAGAATGGTCCAAAAGGATATAGGCACAATGTTTCGTAAATCACCATATTTAACCGCACATCGAGAGAACACAGCTGATAGGCAAGCAGTCCTGTACTTAGATGGTTTCTATGCCTATAGGCTGAATGCGACTCCATATATCCACATGAAACTTACATGTCAATTCATAAACTAAGAATCTACCAAGAGAATCACTCCTTAGCGATCCTTGGTTTCAATTCATGAAAAAATTAATCTAAAATATCTGCTGAGAAGGGTCTGCTCGAACACATGTCCAAGAACACATTCATAAATATTAATAATTCATTAATTGATTAAGCTAGAGAATAATATAGTGAACTACAACAATTGGGGCTAGGGATTTGGTCCTGCTTGACTAACCCATGTCTGCCAGGGCGCCCATACTAAGGTTTGTGATTTGCATGCATTACAGGCGAAAAACAATTTAGAAGTACCAATTTCATTTTGTGCAGCTTATCCATATTCGGGGCTTGATTTCCAAGGATCTCTACCACCTCGGCTCGCACATGATCCTGCCACTCAGGATGGTTTGCTAAAAGTACTAAAGCAAAGGTAGTGGCAGTGGCGGTAGTTTGACGTCCACCAAGGAACATAGCCTGGCATTTGTCTACAATGATGCTTGATCCATGGCCGTATTTGTTGATTAAGGCCTGTAAGATGCTCTGCCGCTCGACGTCGTCATCACAGTCCATCAGCTTTAGAACAAATTGGTTGACTTATTTTCCATCCTAGAGGCTGGTGGTCACTTTATAAATATGAAGGAAAGTCTCACTTTTTGAGCTAGATTTTGAGATGAGAGAAGTTCAAGACCTTCCAACACTAATATTAGAGCTCAGTTTACCAACTAGTTTGGACAGATTATGAGGGGGAGATTCTTGGGTTATCCCGCATTATGTGGATGGGGCTAGTGGTCAGTTTGTAAATGTGAAGGAAAGCCACACCCTTTGTGCTCGTTTTTTGGGTGAGAAAGGCCCAAGACGTCAAAGAGCGGCAATTTTTTTACTAAAACAGTAGCTGATAAAAGGTAAGCATTTGGAATCATGTTAACTCGCGAAACATGGGAATGCTGTAGAAAGCAAACTGTGGAAAGACCATCGCGCCGCTTAGAGTAATGCTGAAGGAGGAGGTGCCCAAGACCAACAGAAGCATGCAGCTGGCTTAGCAAATCCTGAAGCACTAACATCTTTGACAAAATTTCATTGCCAAGAACATAATTGCTCCCAAACATTCCTTTCGAAATCTTTTCTGCCGAGAGACCTTTGAATCCTCGTTGACCCATACCGAAGCTACTCCCCTCGCTTTCTCCTTTTGAGATTCCCACTTTTCCAACATGGAGACGGCGGATTCAACCGTCATGTCCACGCAAAACAAAACCAGTAACATATAGATGGCTTTTCTGTCAAAAATTTAGCTGCTTCATGTGCAAGAACGAAGACAGCCAAAGCAAGATTCGTGCCGCTGTGAATTAGATAGAACGTGCCTAGCTAATTCACACCTTTATTTTGTCATTGAAGAATTCGGGCGCAATGACTTTCCTCTGGGGGGCCCAGGATTTCCCTTTTGAAGAGATGTTGTCGTCATAACCCAACAGAATTTCCCAGTTGTCTCTCAGGTATGTGGAGCGACCGAATTCAGGAGACTTGCACTGACACAACTCCCTCACTATGACAAAGTCGCATAGGGAATCCTGAAGCATTAAGATCTTCGAGAAAATCGCATTGCCAACAACATAGTTGCTCCCAAAACATGCTTTTGAAATCATTTCGGCGGAGAAGCTTTTTAAATCCTCATCAACTCGTTCTGAAGCAACTGCCCCGCTTCCTCCATTTGAAATTCCCACTTTTCCAATGCGGAGATGGTTGATTCAACCGTCATTTCCACCATTCTCTATGCAAAACACAAGTAACGTATAGATAGCTTTTCTGTCAAAATTAACTGCTTCACGTGCCAGAACAAGGACAGCTCAAGCAAGAAATGTGCCACTGTGAAACTTTTAAAGTAGGCACTTTATGATTGCCAATGCCATCGTTATCCCCCACAGCTTTCTGGTCATCTTTTTTCCAGCGGAGAGCTTGCTTTGGAGACAAGTTGCTGAACTGGATTTGGTAAGCTCCAAAACCATAGCAAAAGAAAATGATGATGGTTTAGTGTTTCTGCCAATGCACACAGCCCACAGCTAAGGGCGTCCATTGAGTGGGTCTAGAAGAGGTATTGCAATTCCAGCACTATCGTTTAACGTACCTTTTTTTCTCTGAAATGAAACTTTTTCATTGCTCAACCAATATGCAGGATGCTTACTCTGCTACAGGCTTCTCACTTCTTTTAACTCAACTTTCTTCTCATACTCTTGACCAGATTGTCACCATGCTACTAACTTCAGGCATATCTGCGCTAGTGGTGATTGCTGAAGTGGGTAAGGATGGAAATGCTAGCGCAGAATGGCTACCGATTTGAGGCTAAGTCCCCAAGTACTGCGACCATGTGGGCGGAACTCTAGGGGCCAGTTTCTCCAGACTCATATCGTATGTGATGATACTCCTTTGTTCCATTCACTGTCCTGCATCCTCTCTTAGTTTGAGGTATTTTACCCCAGCAGAGGACTTTAGACAGTGTATTGGAAGTTTGACGAATTTTTACTTCACCTTCAATTTCTGATCATCTTTCCCGTCAATCTAGATCGCTAGACTTACAAGGAACACTATCAAATATCAACCAGTGTGTTATACATATCTGCTTTAGTGTATACTCTTGATTGAATGAATACGATCATCAATTTCGTTATTTTTCTTCCCCTGAGAGGCAATTGCAGCATCAAGAGACTCTAAAAAGCTTAATTAACAATGAGGTCCGTAATTAATGTATAAACAAATCTGCACATCTAAACATTTATCACTTATCAGGTGATCTCGGCTAGATTTTTGCCATGGCTTTGCCCGTTACATTCGTAATGAACAGAAGTAATACGCACAGAGTTCAGGGTAATAGGATGCCTAACATTCCTAGTTAAGAAATGTCCAACATAAGTGAGTCTAGAAGATATGCAGTACTAATTAACATGCATTAAACAAGAATTTCCTTCTTTATGAAATCTCTATATGAGCATTACCACCTGCATTCAAAGAACAGCCACCCGTCAAATTTATTGATGTTCCCTGCAAGCCAAGAGTTTTTTGGTCAGTAAGCTTAGCTTTTACCCAGAAGTAAGCCCAACTGACCACCCACAAGAGAACATGATGCTACAATTTCGTCAACTATCCTTTTTTGTGGTGCGCCTTCCAATGCAACACAAACATTCATACAGAAGATGGACAGTTTCAGATCTTCTCCATCTTCAGCTGTACCCCATGTTCCGGCTTAAAAAACAGCTTACACATCACCGAGTGTTTGTATTCTGGGGATAAAGAGAAAGTGAACTTAGACAGCACAAGAGACAGAACTATCTTTAGTTCTGTCATTGCGAAATTCTGGCCGGCACATGTTCGTATCCCCATCCCAAAAGGCATGAACAGATTTGGAAGTTTGCACGCCGAAGAAATGCCATTCACAAACCTTTCTGGATGGAACTCGTGGGCATTGTCACCCCAGTTGGCCGGATCCTGATGCAACAACGGGATTGGGAGCCACATGTTGACGCCTTTTGGAATCACAAAGTCCCCGAACTTCATTTCCTCGGAGGTTTCTCTCGTCAAGAATGGTACAGGAGGATATAGGCGCAAAGTTTCGTAAATCACCATATTTAACTGCACATCGAGAGAAAACAGCTGATACCCAAGTAGTCCTATACCTAGATTTTCTGTTAGCCTAGGGCAACATGCGACTACGTATATCCACGTGAAACTTATATGTCAATTCATAGACTAAGAATCTACCAAGGAAGCTCACTTCATAACAATACTTGGTTTCGATCTATGAAAAAATTCACCTATAATATCTCCTGAGAACGGTCCGGTCGAATGTACTGTGCTATAATATTGATTAATTAAGCTAGAGAATAATATAGTGAACTACAAAAATTGGGCCTAGGGATCAGGTCCTGCCCTGACTAAACTATGTTTTGACATTGCCCAGTGCGCATAATCTTAGGTTCATGAACCATATGCATAATAGGCAAAAGAAAATCTAGAAGTACCAATTTCATTTTGTGCAGCTTATCCATATTCGGGGCTTGATTTCCAAGGATCTCTCCCACCTCGGCACGCACGCGCTCCTGCCATTCAGGATGGTGTGCTAAAAGTACTAAAGCGAAGGAAGTGGCAGTGGCTGTACTTTCATGTCCACCGAGGAACATAGTCTTACAATTGTCTACGATGACGCTCGATCCACAGCCGAAATTGTTGACTAAGGCCTGTAAGAAGCCCTGCCTGTCGGCGCTGTAATCACTGTCTATCAGCTTCAGAACTGATCGGTCCACCTCTTTTGCTATCCTCCTAATGTCACAAGCAGTCTTTGTAGGAATATGCCTATACCCAGAATTTTAAGAAGTCAAAAAGCGGCAAGATTAATATGAAATCCTTTTGTACGGGAAGCAAGATATACGCAGTATGAAGGTTCTTTTATCAGAAGAAACTTCTGCTACACATGTAACACAGCATATGAAACGGTAGCTAATAAATGGTAAACAAGCGGAATCATGTCTCCCTCTGTTAATATATTTAAATAATAAATCAAGCTTTCATCGTATAGATTAAGCTTTTTTAACAATTGACAGTGATCTCACAAAAGCTCACGTGGTATCGAAACAAGATGCCTAAGTTCTAATCTTGATAGGCCCCTATTTGCCTCTCAATTACATATTTCCATACTTAGGCCAAAGTTATCAGTCGCAACTTGCCCTAGAAAGCAATTTCCATACTTCGGCCAAAGCTATCAGTCGCAACGTGCCCTAAAACGCAAACTTCAAAAAGACCAACACCACAATTAGAGTTTTTTAATGCTGAAGGAGGCACCCTCACCTTACCCCGGGAAGACCAACAAAAGAATGCTGCTTGCTTAGCAAATCCTGGAGCACTAAAATCTTCGAAAAAATTTCATTGCCAATGACATAATTGCTTCCAAAACATGCTTTTGAAATCACTTCAGCGGAGATGCTTTTCAAATCTTCGTCGACCCTTACAGAAGCAACTGCCCCCGCTTCCTCCATTTGAGATTCCCACTTTCCCAAGACGGAGACGGCAGATTCAACCATCATGTCCACCATTCCCTACGCCAATCGAAACAAGTAACATATAGATAGCCTTTCTGCCAAAAATTAACTGCTTCACGTGCAAGAACAAAGACAGCTCAAGCAAGGACTGTGCCGCTGTGACTCTGATAGAATCTGCCTAGCTAAGTCACACCTTTATTTTGTCGTTGAAGAATTCGGGCGCAATAACTTTCCTCTGCAGAGCCCAGGATTTTCCTTTCGAAGTGACAATACTATCATAACCCAACAGAATTCCCCAGTTGTCTCTCTAGTACGCGGACCTTCCTAATTCAGTAGACTTGCACTGACAGATCTCCCTCACTATTTCAAAGTCGCAAATGCATACAATCACCATGTTCCCCAGTGAGAATGCAAACACTGGACCTGCAATGACAGTAGCATTCTCAGCAGGTGAATATGATCATCCTAAAATACACGTGCTCATCACACAATACAAATGGCCGGCCCATGTTGCAGGCATATCTAGTGAAAACTCCCAATCACTAAGATGTGAACAATGAGTGAAGTAGAAAAGAGTATATTTACCACAGTTGGCTCTCCACTTCTCTATGTGGGGAAATAGGCGAGACATGTAATCATGCGAAACGCGATTGGTGATGCTTTGTTGATTCTTTGTCGCTTGCATTTCCAGTTGAATCTTCTTAATATCCGGGATGTTGCCGAAGAAAAAGGATGGCACAGGGCCATTGATTCCCTGTTGCTGAAGCTTCTTTCTGAGCCGCAGCGGCTTCCACCAGAAGAGATTGTAGAGGTACCAGAACAAGCATGTGAAGCCTACAAGAAAGAGAGAGATAAAGACTCCTAAAGTTGTAGCCATTGATGTCTTAATTGTTCCCGTAGCTCTTTCTTGATTCTTCTTAAAATGAATCAAAATGGGTATGACAGGCTTTTTGTGTTATCTTTTTTAGCAGCTATAAAACTGCCAGCTGCAAATGGGAAACGAAAGGGTGCTGTTCCTCGCTGGTAGACCCCTTACTCATTGGACAGCATCAATTCATCCGCTAAAGGACAACTGATAGAAGTTGGTTTCCTTGTATAAACAACGGAGCTAACCATACGAAGAACTAGTCTACTGTGTTTTCCTGATTCCACTGGGGGGAAAAAAGAAACTCGCACGTTTGTTTTTTGTGCCTCTTTTAAATTTCTTAGTTGGTAGAAGTGCTTCTTTTAAATTCGTAGTTGGTACAAATTATTGGTGCATTTTAATAGGATATTTCACTGGTGGGGTCAAAGTTTATATGGAAATTTTCCCTAAAGAATAATCAAAAGGACAGCTGCAGCGAATCGACTGGACGAAGCTAGAAGGAAACTAGCACTGCTTGGGAGGATCACGCCCAAGAGGCCATTTCTTTTTGAAGTAAAACAGACGGACATAAAAAGAGTTCAGATAAAACAGCAGCATCTAGAACTCAAGTATGATAAGAATTATCTCGTTAAATAGCATACGGAAATCTTCAGACGAATTACAGAAAGCAAGTAAGCCTGCAAGAATTCAACGAGCCACCAGACCAAGCGCTCACCTACCTAGGGACATGTTGATTGGCCAGTGATAGAAGTTAGAATCCGGAAGCATCGCCATTGCAAGTAGAGGCTTAAAATCATTAAAGTATAACTACCGTCCACAATTCTTAAAGAGAACCGGATGGTATAGTGTTTCCATTCAGAGAAAGAGAACTGTATGCCGCCTCAATTTCAGGTGACCTTAGCTAGATTTTGTAGATGGCTCTATCCATTGCATTCATAATGAGCCAGAAGTAAGGCGTGCGGAGTTCGAGGTGATAGGATGCCTAACGTTCCTAGTTAAAAAATTGTCCAACATAAATGAGTCAAGAAGATATGCTGTACTAAATTAACTTGCATTAAACAAGAACTTCCGTCTTTATGAAATCTCCCTTTGAACATTACCGAATGCATTCAAAAAATGGTTGCCCGTCAAATTTATTGATATCCCCTGTAAGCCAATAATTTTTTAGTCACTAAGCTTAGCATTTACACAGAAGTAAGCCACTGACCACCCACGAGGACAAGAAGCTACAATTTCGTCAACTATACTTAGCTTCCAATGCAACAATTTAAACATTAATACACAAGATGGACAATTTCAGCTCTTCACCATCTTCAGTTGTACCCGTGTTCAGGCTTAAACAACAGCTTATGCATCCCCGAGTATTTATACTTGGGGGACAAAGAGAAAGTGAACTTAGACAGCACAAGAGACAGAAATATCTTTAGTTCTGCCATCGTGAAATTCCGGCCCACACAATTTTGTATCCCTGTCGAGCGATCAAAGTTAGAATCTCAATGCATCTCCATAGAAAATTAAGGCTTAAAATCATAAGAATACCGACTGCCATCTAGAATTCTTAAAAAAGAACCAGACAGTGTAAGGTTTTCCATTCAGAGAAAGAGAATTATAGGCCACCTCGATTTCAGGTGATCTCGGCTAGATTTTGTACATGGCTTTGTCTATTACGTTCATAACGAACAGAAGTAAGACGTGCAGAATTCAAGGGAAAGCCTAATGTTCCTAGTTAAACTGTGTCCAACATAAGTGAGTCGAGAAGATTTGCAGTACTAATTAACTTGCATCAAACAAGAACTTCCTTCTTTATGAAATCTCTCTACGAGAATTACCAAATGCATTCAAAGAACAGCCACCCGTAAAATTTATTGATATCCACGGTAAACCAAGAGCTGTTCAGTTACTAAGCTTAGCTTTTATACAGAAGTATGCCCCACTGACCACCACACACAAGAGTACATGACGCTACAATTATATTGACTATGCTTTGTGGTACAGCTTCCAATGCAACAGACCAAACATTCAACACAAGGACAATTTCAGGTCTTCTCCATCTTCAGTTGTACCCCGTGTTCAGGCTTAAAAAACAGCTTATAAGTCAGCAAGTGTTTGTATTCTGGGGATAAAGAGAAAGTGAACTTAGACAGCAAAAGAGACAGAAATATCTTAAGTTCTGTCATCGCGAAGTTCTGGCCAACACAAGTTCGTATCCCTGTCCCAAAAGGCATGAACAGATTCGGAAGCTTGCACGCTGAAGAAATGCCATTTGCAAACCTTTCTGGATGGAACTCGTGGGCATTGTCGCCCCAGTTGGCCGGATCCTGATGCAACAGCGAGATTGGGATCCAGATGTTGACGCCCTTAGGAATTGCAAACTCCCCAAACTTCATTTCCTCGGATGTTTCTCTTGTCAAGAATGGTCCAGGAGAATATAGGCGCAGTGTTTCGTAAATCACCATATTTAGCTGCACATCGATAGAAAACAGCCGATTGGCAAGCAGTCCTATAATTAGATTAATAAGCCTAAGAAGGGCAACATGCGAAGGATCTGCTCGAATGTACGTGTGAGAACAAATAAAAAAATAATTGATTGATAGATTTAGCTAGAGAATAATACAGTGAACTACAAATATTGGGGCTAGGGATCAGGTCCTGCCTGGCTAACCCATGTCTACAATTGACCAGTGCGCATGTACTTAGATTTTTTAATCGTGTGCATAATAGGCAAAAAAATTTAGAAGTACCAATTTCATTTTGTGCAGCCTATCCATATTCGGCGCTTGATTTCCAAGGATCTCTACCACCTCAGCACGCACGTGCTCCTGCCACTCAGGATGGTGTGCTAAAAGTACTAAAGCGAAGGTAGCGCCACTGGCAGTTGTTTCATGTCCACCAAAGAACATTCCCTTGCAATTGTCTATGATGACACTCGATCCACTGCCAAAATTGTTGACTAAGGCCTGTAAGAAGCTCGGTTTCTCGGCATTGTAATTGTCATCCATCAGCTTTAGAACAGATTGGTCAACTTCTTTTCCTATCCTCCTAATGTCACGAGCAATCTTTGTAGGAATATGCCTATACCCAAAATTTTGAAGACGTTAAAAAGCAGCAAGATTAATATGAAATCATTTTGTCCAGGAAGCATGATATGCGAGCGTTTAAGGTTTCTTCAGAATTTATCAGAAGGAACTTTTGCTATATATGGAACACGGCATATGAAAAAGTAGCTGACAAAAGGTAAACATGTGGAATCATGCCTGTGTCATTATTGTCTGAATGAACAAATAAACTTCTCAGTCGGAACTTGCCATAGAAACTTGAAAGCAAACTTTAACAAACCTGTCACCCCAATTAGAGCCTTTTAACACTGAAAAAGGAGGCGCCCTCACCTTACCCCGGGAAGACCAACAAAAGCATTCTGCTTGCTTAGCAAATCCTGAAGAACCAACATCTTTGAAAAAATTTCATTGCCAATAAGATAATTGCTCCCAAAACATGCTTTTGAAATCATTTCGGCAGATAGGCTTTTTAAATCCTCGTCGACCCGTATTGAAGCAACTCCCCCCACTTCCTCCATTTGGGATCCCCACTTTTCCAAGACAGAGACAGCGGATTCAACCATCATGTCCACCATTCCCTATGCAAAAAAAAAAAAAAAAAACGAGTAACTTATAGGTTAGCTATTCTGTCAACATGCAAATGAAGACAGCTCAAGCAAGGACCATGCCGCTGGGCATTTGATAGACCTGCCTAGCTAATTCACACCTTTATTTTATCATTGAAGAATTCAGGCGCAATGACTTTTCTCTGGAGCGCCCAGGATTTTCCTTTCGAAGTGATGATGCTGTCATAACCCAACAGAATTCCCCTGTTGTCTCTCAGGTACGCAGACCTTCCGAATTCAGCAGACTTGCACTGACAAAACTCCCTCACTATGTCAAAGTCGCATATGCAGACAATCACCATGTTCCCCAGGGTGAAGGCAAACACGGGACCTGCAATAACCGTAGCGTTCTCAGCAGTCAAAGATGATCGTCCTAAGCTACATGTGCTTATCACGCGGTAGAAATAGCTGGCACATGTTACAGGCATAGCTAGTGAAAACTCCTAAACACAATGATGTGAACAATGATTGAAGTAGAAGAAAATTTGTTTACCAAAGTCAGCTCTCCATTTCTCAATGTGGGGAAATAGGCAGCACATGTAATCGTGTGAAACGCGATTGCCGATGCTCTGTTGATTCTTCGTGGCTTGCATTTCTAGTTGAATCTTCTTAATGTCCGGTATGTTACCGAGGAAAAAGGATGGCGCAGGGCCATTGATTCCCTGATGCTTAAGCTTCTTTCTGAGCCAAAGCGGCTTCCACCAGAAGAGATTGTAGAGGTACAAGAAAAAGCAAGTGAAGCCCACAAGAAAGAGAGAGAGAAAGACTCCTAAAGGTGTAGCCATTGATGTCGAAACTGTTGTTCCCGTAGGTCTTTCTTGTTTCTAATTATATGAATCGAAATCGGCAGCACAGGCTTTTTCTGTTTCTTTTTTTACAGCTCCAAAAAATTGTAAGCAGCAAATGGAAAACGAACAAGTGTGCTGTTCCTCACTTTTAGATTCCTTACTTATTGCACGGCACCAATTCAACTGCTAAAGGACAAACTGAGTTGGTTTCGTTGTATAAACAACGCCAGAAACCGTAAGAAAAGCGAGTCAACTGGGGTTTCAGATTGGACTTTGAAAAAGAACCTGCTTGCACATTTATTCATTGTGCCTCTTTTAACTTATCTACATAGTTGGTACCTATTATCGGTACATTTCCAAAGGATTATTCACTGGTGTGATCGAAATTTATGTGGAATTTGTCCCTAAAGGATAATCAAAAGGACAGCTGTGGAGGATTGATCGGATCAAGCTAAAAAGGAAATAGCACTGCTTGGGAGAATCGCATCCAAGAGGCTATTTCTTTTTGAAGTTCAACGGCATTCCAAGTTCAGATGTACATAAATAGAGTATAGACATTACAGCAGCATCTAGAACCCAAGTATCATTGCGAATTTTCTCATTAAAGTAGCATACGTAAAACTTCAGTAGCAAATTATAGAACGTGACCAGACCCTCAAGAACTCAATTAAACGGCGAGACCAAGGGCTCACTAACCTAAGGACATGTCGAGTGTCAAGTAATCAAAGTTAGAATCCAGATGCATCTCCATAGCAAATTAGGGCTTAAAACTACTAGAATAATAACAACCATCTTGTAATTATTAAAAAGAACTAGACAGTATAAGGTTTCTCATCCAGAGAAAGAGAACTATACACCACCTCGATTGTGTAGTCCGAGTAGAAGCATAGCCGAGGATAGGTACACACTGTACCAGTGTGGGCAGTCCTACTTAAGGCAATACAATGCTAAAAATACTATTAAAACATCGGCATAACTAGTACAGGCAATGACAAACATAGAAATATATAGTCGTAGCCTCGGCATGCGTCATATCCAGTTTCTCAATTTCCAATGTTCATGAAAAGAGAACCCACATTGAAGTTCAGAAAAGAGATCAGACATGTACACCAATTTTGGCATCCCTCATCTCAAAACAATCGAGGAAACCTTGCGCGCAATTCTGGACTTCTTTATTTAAATGTGATGCAAAGCATTGACCGTCTATCACACTGATTTTTAAGCCAGTGATTGGAACTAGAAATTTCTAAGCAGACCATCCCCTCTGTGAATTTCCAGAAGAATGCACATTCAACCTGTCAAGGACCGCATTAAAATCCACGGGCTGCCCGCTCTCCTCCAACCTCTGAATGACACTCGCCACATGATCGCCCCTAAAACCCATGCTCACTAGTTTCTCAATCAACTCACCGTAGGGATGGTTTCTAACAAACTGCGAGTGACCAGGGTTACGACCCACTAAATTACCACCTGGGGCGGCATGGGGATTCTGAACAGGAACATTGGTTGGAGGGTATGCACCCTGAGGGAAGTGCATTTGCTGAGGTGCATGATGTGCCCTCGCCATATCTCCTTCATACATCATATATCCACTAGTCTGAGGTACCACACTTTGGGGCCCAGCTTGGTAAGTTTCGCCAGGATGTGCTCCAAAGGTGCCCTTCGGAGGGGGAAGTGGAGGTTGTTGTTGACCCATCCGACCTTGTCCGCCATATTCATAAGATACTGTATCAACACGGCTAGATACAGGTGGTGGAACTCCAGAATAAGACAATTGCATCGCCATGCTATTTGGAAGTGTCTCTGGAGGAGGGTTTGAGGGTTGACTCGGTGGGTAAGGAGAATAAACAGCTGGTGATGGGGCTCTGATCTGCGGTTGCATAGATGACTGTTGTTGTGGTTGTACCTGCTGAGGTAGTTGCTGAGACCACTGCTGCTGATACTGTGGGAATGGATGCGGTGGTGGTGGTGCAGGTGTCTGATTCACCTGCGGCTGCATGGATTGAGGGGCCACTTGAAGTTGAGACATCCTGACATGAGGATCCGAAGCCACGTATTGACTCTGAGGTAGCTGGGCAGGTACAGATGTATTTGGAATCTGGCCAGGTTGCAGATAATAGGCTTGCTGTTGGGAAACATTCTGTGCAGGGGCCTGTGATGGAGGGGCCACTGGTGGTTGCGGCGGAGACACTTGATGTGGAAGAGCCAAAGCTAACTGCTGGTCAGGTACATCAGATGCATTATCAGACTTCTTGCTGTCAGATTTAGGTGTTGAAGTTTTCTCCTCATTTGATTTGTCATGACCAGAGGAAGACTCTTTCTGCACAAGCTGAAGCTTGGCTAGTTCTTTCTGAGTTTCAGCAAGTTCTTGTTTGTCTCGCAAAATCTGTACCGACCTGTGGACCTGCCAAAAGCCATGGACATTTCAGGCAAGTTACTTATTTCATAATGTTGACTGTCAAATTTCTAGCAAAAAAAAATGTTGACTGTCAAACGACAAAGGATATGACATCAGTTTAGAATCAGGAAACAAAAAAAAGAAAACTTAAAGCATAATTACACAGAAGCACATATCTCAATAACCTGCCTTATCACGTGCCAACAATTCTTGAATGTGTCACATTTCTGCTGTAATAAAATGGCGGAGCAATTAAGAACCTTTATTCCACCAAAATCAATATAAAAAAGCAACACGCTGTTACTGGAACACGCCTAATGATCCAACAAAAAAAGAGTGGTACCTAAAATCTCATGAACCAATGGAAGCCAAACCATTAACAGATCTCTCTATCACTTCTCCATAAATAACTACAGACGTTATTCCCAGGTACTGGCCCAAAAGATAAAGACTTTTCTGTCCGTGACTGTTCAGGATGTCAAGAAAATGGGCGATTAACATAGTCAAAACAGCCCAAAGAAAGCAACTTCTAGAGAAACAATGCTCCTATCAATCAACCTCGACCAGTGTTAGCTTCTGTCAAATATGCAATAAAAGGACTTCCAACGAAGACCTCATATGGTACATTTGTCTAAATGAATATTCAACTCAAAATTTCAATTCAAGAGCTTTATCTTTCCCACCAAACCAACAAGTTTCTACTCCCAGCCATAGAAAGAGGAGATCTTAATACATGAATCATGGCCTGGGTAACTTTCACCGTGACGGTAACTACTCTTGCAAATGCTAAGGAGATAGGAAGGAGTACAAAATTTTCAACAAAACAGAAGAGTTCAAAGAGTGATTACCTTACAAATAAAAAAGGAAAGAGAAGAAAAAGCAAATGAGATTATTTTCTTTTTTGTGGTCTATGTCATTATTTAATTATGCGACGACACCGAAATATGCATCCATGGCTATTGCTTAATTTGTGAATGATTGTTTTGCCTTGTCACTAAGAACGCAAGTAACCACATCCAGTCTCCCAACACCTATCTGCCACATGAACCTGTATTGAGTTAGTGATATGTGCTCACAATGTAAAGATACAAGTACTGAATTACGACAATCACAACCTCTCACGAAAGATCACAGCATGAACTTAGAATAAAAGCAAAAGCATACTATGGGACAAAACTAGATGGATATATGAGATGCTTTACAAGTAGTAAACTCACCTCTTGAAGATGTTTGTCAAGAGATTTAAGCTTTGTATCTGCATCCCCATGATCACGATTCAGTTGAGATCGCATCTCTCCAATTGATTTATCGAGATTGTAGCAGTATAATTCCAACTCAGATAGCCGCGAACTTATCCCCTCGAGAAAGCGCATGAGGTTGTCGGTATGTTTTTTCATGCTTTTCTCAACAGAAGCAATTAAATCTTGATTAAAGGAATCCTCTGGCTGGCTATAGGCAGAAGCAGAATAAACTATTGGCCGGACAAGTCTACTTTTGTGGAAGTCCTGCTCAGAGCATTTTATTGGGTTAGATTTTACCATTACAGTGCAAGCTCAAGCCAACACCCTCAATACATGATCATAGCTGGTTTTTCGGAGGTTATATTAACCACAGAGCCAAATTGATCATACTGAAGCACAAGTGATTCAGCATTTTCAGCTAGATCCTCTAGAACTGCAAAATTTAGCATAAAAGATAGCCCGATTCATTCTATGAGGCCATTGAAAATTTCATCAACTCTTGCATGTTTAATACAGTTCTGATGAGCTTTCTGTAGCCTTTAGCCTACCAATCTCCTCTTTTCACTAATCCTCAAAACCCCATCAAGTACTAATAATCGTATATAGAACCAGATGCAAATGTTACGAAGCCAAGGGCTCAATGACACACTCTCCAAAAGGTAAGAAGGAACAAAACAGGCATTCAATTACCAGCAGCAATTCTTAACATCGAGACTCTTCAAATGTAATATACTTGACCCAAAGCAAAGACTAGACATATCTACCGAAGCAATACTGAAACTGAATTTGATCAGGGAAAGCTACCTCAAGTAGTATTGATTTGGCACCTCGCTAATTTTTTCCCGGCACCAGTGCGACAGAAGCCCAAGAATTCTCGCATCAACCTTTATTACTACTAGCATATGAATTGTTGCAAACAAGAGACTATTTATTTTCAAGACATTGAAGTCAAGCAAAGTGAGATATTCTGACACAGTAGAAAACAAAGAAAAAGGAAAAACGCGTAAACTGCATCACCGTTCCCATTCAAAAGAACAATACTTTGTTACGTACGACAACACTTCCGACTGCAAAAACCGCATCGGGCTCATAAACAAAACCTTCGCGAACTACATACGACTACCACAACTTGCTTCTACAGATCGACTCCATCCACGAAAACGACGAGGAAGTCACCCAGCAAGACAAGAAACAAATCTAGCTGAAAAGCCCCTAGTTCGGACCACCCATGATCACAGAGCCAAACAACTCGCAGAACTCAAAACCCTAACAACTCATCCGCATCTCAAGCTCGAATCGACCGTCCCAAAAAAACCCAACGCGAAATTCGCAGAACCCCAAAGAAAACACGCAGGAAAAAGGGGCGAGACCGACCGATTGGCGAAGCGGAAGGTACCTTTCCGAGGTTGGCAGCACCGATGGCGGCGGAATCGGAGTGGCTCCCGCCGTTGGAGGCGTCCTGCTGGT